TTGTCATAATTTGTAATGATATTCCACTTTTCATTTCTTGCTGATTTTTGTTAGTACAATATAAACATGCTGATGACATTTATTGATTTATTATCCTGCTACTTTGCAGACACCATTTATCATATGACTAACAACAGAGTGAAGGCAGAATTGCTCAGTTCTCTTTTTGCTTTTTTATCAGCTAACAAGAATGACCTTTTGCATTAGAAATTATAAAAAAGAAAATATGTAACAGGATGTTGACGTGTCAAAGATAAGTCAGGAGCTAGTAAGAGGGCTCTTAGCTATCCTTAGTGAATTCAGGTCACCTGGCACAGATGATTTCCATCCTCAAGTACTGAAGGAACTGGCAGATGGGATTGCTGAGCCACTGTCAGTGGCATTTAAAGGTCATGAAAAATAGGAGAGGTACCATAGGATTGGAAAAGAAAAGATGTTATTCTGATTTTCCAAAAGGGAAGAAAAGAGAATCGCACACTATAGTCCAGTGAGATTGACTTTAATTCCTAGCAAAATTGTAGAATAAATCATTAAAAAGATGATTGGTAAATACCCAGAAAGGGAATCAGTGATTATAAAGAGCCAGCGTGACTTCATAAAGATCAGACTAATTTCATTGCTTCTTTTGTTGGGATCATTAAAGTAGAAGATAAGAGAATACTGTGAATGTAGTGTACCTAGATTTTAGCAAAGCTTTTAATAAAATATTTCATATTATTCTTGGGGAGAACATGAAGAGATGTAGATCAGATAGTAATGTAACTAGGTAGATTCTGGAATGGTTGGATGACTAGACTCAAATAATAAGAAAGAGTGGTAGATATATAGTGAAAGATAAAGAGTTCTGAAAAAAATGTTTTGAGTTTGAGATTCCTGTGGGACATTCAGCTTAAGATGCCCCAAAAGCAATGTGCAAATAGGACTGAAGCTCAGGAGAGAGACTTGAGCTGAATATATAGATCTTAGTGGCATCTGCATAGAGATAATCATTGAACCTATGGGAGCCAATGGGATTATGAAGTGAGAAATAAAACCAGGACAGAGCTTTGGGTCATGTTCATGGATTACACAAATGAAGAACCAGCAAAGTGAGCTGGAAAGAAACGGTGAGAGAGGAGGACCAGGAAGTAGCAGTGTCACTCACATCCAAAGGGAAGAGAATATCTAGGATAAGGTGATCAACAACGTCAAAGGCTACCACGAGCTCAAGAAGGATAAGGATTGAGAAAAGATCGTTACATTTATCAATTAAGATGTCATTGGTAACTTTAGAAAGAATATTTTCAGTTGAATAATGACATTGGAAACCAAATTACAGAGAGTTTAGATGAGAGTGAAAGGAGAAGGAGAGTTGAGGAGATGAGAAATATAGGACAGTAGCTAGTGGCCATGGTAGATTTAAATTAGAGGGTTTTTTTAATGATTGGGAAGACTTGGAAGAGTTCTGGGGCATCAGGGGAAGAACCAATACATAGAGATTAAAAATTATATTGAGGAAATGATTGTAGTGCATTCTTTTAGAGAAAATGGGAAGATCTGGCATCGAAAGTACATGTAGAAGGGTTGGATTTGTTAAGGAGAAGGACCACTCTTCATTAGCAGCTTGGGTGAAGGAGGAGATGGTTCTGGATGATATCAGAAGGATGGTGAAATAAGTAAAAGAGGAGAAGATGGAGCACTTGGTGAATGGCCTCCGTTGTTTCAATGAAGTACCAAATGAGGACTTCAGAGTGTGGAAGGAGGGAGTGAGTGTTGTGAGAGGCTTGAGATGATAGAGGTTTGGAATGCTCCCTATGGTAAGTGGGATGGAAAATCCATTACTGGGAGTTGAGATTGTCTGCCTGCACTAAAGGCAATAAAGATTATGTTAAGATAACAAATTTGTACCTAGTCTGTAGGGTCTTTCTGGCTTCCTCCACCTCATTCAATAGTGAGTGAATAGGACCTAAGGAGGAAGACAGATGCAGTCTTTCAGGGTGAGGATTTAGCAAGGCTTGGTCAGTAATAAATTGAGACTAGAGGATAGTAGAAGATATTGTAGATTTGAACTGGTTCACCAAAGGTTCAAGTTTGGGAAGGAAGGAGAATGTAACCAGAGTAGGGGTAGTGACTTAGGAAAGTACTGAAAGTTGTGGGGATTGGAGGTTGTGGTGAGGAAGAAGAATTAGATTTATTAGGAGTAAGGGGTAGGGGGAGCTAAGAAGATAAAAGATTATAATTAGACAGGAATTTCAGAGTTCTTGAACATAGAAGTTGGACTACTTGTGGGTGATGCTACATCAAGAGTGTATGCATAGCTGAGCATAAATAAGAGGTTATATGTTTTGACTTCACTGCTTGTGAAAGGAGTAAGTCAGGAGTTGAATAGTGCAAGGAACTGAGAATTAAGTTAAGATGTTTGAGGGAATATGAGGTGTTGTGGCTTAAATGGACAGAGAGTTAGCCTCTCAGCCAGGAAGACCTAGGTGCAGGCCCTGTCTCTGACCCATACTGGTTGTGGGTCTCTGGGCAAATCACTTTCAACTTTCAACCAAACTCTCTATAAAATGGAGACAGTAAAGCACCCACCTCAGGGGGTTGTTCTGTCTATCAAATGGTGTAACATATTTAAAGTGTTTTACACAACTTAAAACACTATATAAGTGCTAGCTAATTATCATCATTATTATGATAAAGATCATAGTTTGTGGGTAGGAGTGGAGGTGGGTGAGGTAGGCTGCAAGTTATGTATTAAACTCATTAGGAAAAGAGGGAGAATGTTCTGGGCAGTGGCGGATGATGGCCACCACGATATGGATCAAGAGATAAATTTGGACTCTGTGTTCCTCCAAGGCAAAGTTGCTTTGTGATGGTGGTATAGGGAGATTCTGGAAGGGGATATTGCAGGATAGGACTGAGGTGGCGGAAATGAGGGCACAGACAGCTGGGCTAGGATTGAGAGATTATTCACAAATCTGAGGTTCATTCAGATAAGGAGAGTAGGAGGGGTGAGAGTATAACCATTGGACTATGGGTCCACATAGATTATCAGCAGATGAAGAGAGGTCCATGGATATAGATATAGGCAGGTGATTAGAAAGTTCAAGTAGGCCCTCAACTGGAGGCAACTAAGTGGATCAGCATATTAAATTGTTTGGCCTGGAATCAGGAAAACCTGAGTTCAAATTAAGGCTCAGACACTTACTAGCTGCACAACCCTGGGCAAATCACTTAACCTCTGTTTCCCTTAATTCACTGGAGAAGGAAATGGCAAACCACTCCAGTATCTTTACCAAGAAATCTCGCGGACAGCCGTGCCAGGGTCCACACGGTCATGAAGAGATGGATGTGACTGAACCACTAAACGACAACAACAAAGGCCTTCAACTGTCAGCCTTGTGGCAGGCTGGGCTGCTGTGACCTAGGGAGGTATCCAGAAAACTAAAACAGCACATGGTATGTTTCAAGCCAAACAGCAAGAGCTGATGTATCCCCAGGGCCAGTCTTGTGGCAAGCATGAATAGGGCCTAGTGGAGTTGTGGTTTGGAAACCTCTGAAAGCCCAGCCATGATATAGGAAATGGTGGTGTGTCTTAGGGCCTTGGACAGCAAGCACAAACTTTGTTCTTTGTTGTGGTAGTTCTAAAGTTTAACTGCAGAATTTCTTGGTGATTTACACCTCAAGTTTCTTTATATTCATGTTCTGTGAATACGACTACCTCAAGTTTGTTACTTTTGTCGTAGTGGATGGCTGCTACCCTAGAAACAGAGAATCTACCTACCCTTTTACTTCAAGGACCTCTGTTTGCACTTATATTTGCGAGAAAATAATGTTAAAGAAGACTATGTTTATACCTGGGCCAACTGTGGCCAAGGATCCTTTTTCCTCTTCTTGTCACTTTTTATCACTTATCTAACATAACAAAAGCTTCAAGCATTCCCATTTGCAGACTTTTGTTCATTTATCCAAGGAGCAGTTTAGCTAAGATTTTTTTTCCTCCTGACCTGAATGTCCTCAAATTCCACAAGTGATTAATAATGTTTGAATTTTATAAGTATGCCTAACATATCTCAAAAAGAATTTGAGCATAAATAAGAGGTTGTATGCTTTGATACTGATAATGGAGGCATTTGCTATTAGAAATGCATAATAACAAGTGTTTTTTACAATAAAAATGTCAAAGGAGAACTAATTAATTGATTATTTGCTAATTGTTCTTGCTATAGCTATTAGTTCAATTCCCAGTTATAATAGGGGTTTAATAGATCTATAACTTGCTTACATATACATGTGTCTCAAATAGAGTACCTAAAAATATATCTGCACTAAATCCTAATGTATATCTTTCATTAATATCTATCTGTTTTCCCCTCAGTAATGTAATTTTCAGCATTACCTATGAACACATTTAGGATTCACCTTTCTAGTAATATTTTTCATCAAACTGTAATTGGCTTAGATGTTTGTCTATAACCCGGTTAAAGTAAATCATCTTTGCTAAGTTTTTACGCATTTTTAACTTTTCTCATTTTCATAATGCCCAAACTACAAACTTGTATTTTAAAATGTTCTTTTATTATAATTAAAAACAATAATCTGAAAACATTAATTATGATAGCTTGAGTTAAGAATGCAGCCATTTAATGATATGGTATGTTATGCTTGTATTTTAGAGTACAGGAAGATTTTGAATATTTTTCAATTAATGGAGCGATTTTCAATTAACAATTGAATGAACTAACAATTTAGCGTTCTTTCTGTAAATATAGATATAAATAGAATACTTGAAGAAGTGACGATTTCTTGGAGGAACACCAGAGCAGATAATAACCTTTCAGTGATTTAGCTAAAGTTTTAGGTGTTGCCTGAGGCAAATAAGAGGTTAAGTCAAGGTCACAAGGTTAGTGTCAGAAGCAGTATAGAGACCCTTCTTGACTACAGATTCAGCGCTCTATCCACTAAGACTAAAAAATAGTGATGGAGTATAATTTTTTTTTTTTAAACATACCCTGTTGTTTCAGTCTCTTTCAGATGATTCATTTGGAAACTCAAAGAAGACATACAGACATCATAGAAAAAGAGATTTGAAGAAGACAAATTCTATACCATGGTGGTTAACAGATGATGATATTGAAGATGATGGTAAATACTTTCATTTCATAATATAAACTATTTTGACCACAAGGTGTCAGTCAAGACCTTTCTTGTATTCTGAATATTTGAAAAATAAATACAAGTATGTAAGAAAAGCGTGAACACAGTGAGATTTTGTCATTAATGTTTATAGGTGATTTTTTTTCTGCTTTTAATAAAATTCCATCATGTGTATGATAATTGTGAATGGTGACTATATTTCTGTCTCATAAGGTTTTATCTTGGGATGATTCATATTTTATTTCTTCTGGTTTTTTTTTTTTTTGTGAGGCAGTTGGGGTTAACTGACTTGCCCAGGGTCACACAGCTAATAAGTGTCAAGTATCTGGTATGAGACCAGATTTGAACTCAGGTCCTCCTGAATCCAGGGTCAGTGCTCTATTCACTGTGCTACCTAGCTGCCCCTTCACATTTTCTTAAAACTACTTTAATGAACCTACATAACTTTAGATAAAAGTTATAAATAATGGCCTTGGGGGTAGTAATATAGAAGTAAATGTGTTTTATATAGGATTCCAAGTTGCTGTGTTTGGTGGAGCAATGATTTTGTTGGTGTCATTTCCTCTATTGGTTTCAGATTCTAGCATGATTTATGACCCGGTACCATTCTTATCCATGCCTTTCCATAAATTCCCTAGAGCAGGGCTTCTTAGTCTTTTTTTGTCATGAACCTTTTGTCAGTTTGATGACTCTCAATGTCTGTGTGACCATGGACAAGTCATTTAATCTCTGCCTACCTCAGTTTCTTCATCTGTAAAATGGGGATAATAATAGCAAATAGGTGTTGTGAGGATCATATGAGGTAATATAAGTAAAATGCTTTGCAAACCTTAAAGCACTGTAGAAATACTGGTATTATTATTGTTATCATTATCATCGTCATCATTCCCTAAATCTAGTGCTCAAGGCATCACCATTATGGAACTGGGAAGAGAGTGAAATATGGCTTTGTGTGTTTGTGTGAAAATGTGTTTGCATGCTAAGGTTGATTCAGATTATGTATCCACACCAAGTCCATTTCTTGTATCTTTTATCTGAACTTATGTACTTTCATTAAAGTACTTGAATGCACTTTTGCTCTGAGTTATTCTGAAACCTGGGAACGTTTTATGGGGAATATAGGGAGAATGGAATTGGAGATGGTAGAATGTAGTATCTTGGCGTTGTTCAGGATACATCTTTATTGGATCATCTGGGAGCTGATTAGGTGGTAGATGTAGGAAGAGCTTGGAGGCTTGGTAAGTTGCTAAACTCTCTTATAAAAAGGCTTGAGCAAGCATTTAATTGGGGGTCAGTCATGCCAAGCAGTAAGACCTAGGGATCAGAATTTCAGATGGAGTAAAAGAGAAAATCATGGTCTGTCTTGAAACATTTGCTATGTAGGATGTGATCCTTGTCCTTGGGAAGAGAATATTGTACCCCAGGAGTGACAGGAATAAATATAAGGTAATTAATTACATCTATTTGGTGACTGTTTAAGTCTTTACAAATTGAATAATCAGAGGAAAGCTTTTGATGTACAATGATTGCTTTGGAAAACGTTAAGAGTAAGTCATAGGGATATTTGCAGATAATTGAAAAGGAGGAAATTTGAAAGAAGAGATCAAGACCTGGAAAGGTTACACAGAACAATAAGCTACCTAGAACAAGAAAGTAAGCTATTAAAGTGAGCTGTTGAAAGATATAACTTCACTGAGAAGGAAGAGGAATAAGAATGTAATGAGGAATTCAGGACAGTTTATATAATCAGATACCCACCGACAACCATCAGCTGTTACAAGAAGAACACTAGGCATTACAGGAGGATTGTCAGGGCTATAAGCATACATAAGCTCATTTTTATAATGAGCTAGAAACACATAACACATAATGAGCTTCTTGACTTAAACTCCGCAAAGCCTTATTGAAAAGGGATGAAAGATTAGTACCTTAAGGAAAGTTAGGCATGCAGGATGTCCTAAGAAGAATGGATCACTTTAGTCCTGCAAGATGCAGTTCTGTGGATCCTTCATTGAGAGAGAGAACCTAAGCAATGTTCTCTAAAATTCTCTCAAGGAAAAGAGGAAGTATGTGAGAAACCCTTCCTGGGTAACAGAGACTACAAATTTATTAGATTGCAAAGCAAGGTGCTGAGATAGCCTAGGAATTAGATGTTGCAAAGCAAATTTAACTATAGATTTAGTAATACGTTGGGAGCCTTCTGAGATTAAATAGCATAGAAAAAAGGGCAAGGCCATGAATTTGTATAGTGAACTATCTTATAAATGTGAGCTATATGCACAAGAGAGTAGAGTCTGTGTCACTGGCAGGGATTCAGTGGAGTGTAAAGAATCTAGAGATGGGATAGAGCTCCCAATTGAATTGTGGAGGAGAAACTAGAGTATTTATTCTATAGAACTTTTAAATGGGACAGTCAAAAGCACAATAATTCAGACAGTTTTATCCATAGGGCAATGGAGTTTGCCAAAGAAGTAAATTGGGGTTATTGAACTGCTTTTGAAACTGGGAAAGGGAGAGGAACAGTGGGAGAACTATCATTTGGTATTGTATTCTGGATCATGCATATTAACATGCTAGTTGCATTAGTATAGGGGCTGGTGGGAATTGTCTGGATTTGGATGACTTCTGTTGGCAAATTGTTTACTAGGTGAATTGATGAAAAATGTGTCATTTTTGATACAGACTGGGATCTGACTTCTCCAGCCCTGACATAATAATGTGGAGGCACAAATAAATACAACAGGTGTATGTTGGATGTGGAAAATGAGTAGCTGTGGTATATGTTTCAGACCATCCTCAAATAAGGGAGTTGCTTATCTGCACTGAAGAGGGTAGAAAAATGCCAGAAAGAGAAAGAATTTCCATGCTATGAGTTTCCTACTCAAATGAACAATCAAACATTGGATAACTCTCCATTACTCATTGGATGTTATATAACCTTAATTGTTCAGAAACAATAGTATCACATGATTTACAACCACATAGCAATGTCACCTGAGCTGATGATTCCTAGATCTACTTATCCAACCCTAAGCTTTCTCCTAAGCTCGGGACTCTCAACTCCAGTTGCCTTTTGCACATCTGATATATGGGCTATCCTGTGGACATCTTAAATTCAACATGTCTAGTCTATGGGGAATCCCTCTTCCATTTGGATCCCACACAGGACAGGCATCATAAAAGTGCTAAACACCTTTGGTGAACATATGTCTCCCATTTTTATACATCAAAGTTATCTCTGTTTAACAACAGATGATAAGGTATCTTTGATGGAGCCATATATTTGTGTGTATACATATGTTAAAATAATGGGCCTGTACACCATGTGTGTATATGTGGTTCTATCAGAGATGATATATGTATGTATAGAGTGTTTATGCATATATTAAATGTGTGTGTAATATATATGCACAAATGTATAGGAAATACCTTATTAGAGGAGAGCCTTGAAGAAAACATTTTGTTTATCAGATCAAGCGCTTTTTTATCATTGTCTTAATTATTACTCATTTTGTTTGAAATTGTATATGTGTGTGTGTGTGTATACATACACATATATGTATGTATATATCAAGCATATTACCAGGGTAAACAATTTACAGAATGAGTGTGGATTAGAGATATATGACTTTTATTGTTTTAGCAGGGCATAAATGATTTTTATCTCCATTTAATTGAAAAAGTGAATTGTAGCATACACAATATTTAGTTTTTCTTTTTTATATATTATATAATATATAATTATACAATTTTATATATCACATATGTCATATTTATATATTAATGGATATTGTTTATATGTGTATATGGATTTTAAACTTGTATTGCTGTGTATTACATATTCAGAAAGAAAACACTAAAATGAATGATTATGCAGTTGTAATGCATATAGTATTGTATATTTTAAAATATCAATTGAATGAAAGAAAACTGTCTGTAGAAGATGTATAGATACATAAACACGTATACTGATAGATAAAACTAGAAGGATAGTAAAAAGCAAAAGATGGACGATAATAAGGATTTTTTTTAAAACAAAATCTTTTCTCTTTTACTGACTATGGCACAATTGCATTTGTGCATTACAATCCCCAATGTACTACACAAGGCACTAATATGGGAAGAGTCCCTAGACTAGACCCATTATAAACAGAGGTGGTCCATGATAAAGGCAGTGCAGTTTTCAAAGTGTTGACGAATCTATTGTCAAGAATACCTGAAAAAGAGGAGGATGAGGATAATGACTGCTTTGAAAAACAAATAAACAAACAAAAAACCAAAGATAGGTCAGATGAGGGGGAAAGGATCCATATGTACCAAAATATTTATAGCAGCACTTTTCTTACAGCAGAACTGAAAACAAAGTGGATAGTCACCAAATGAATAAATTATGGTAAAATAGGGAAGGCTGCACTAGATAGGCCCTTCCACCTCTAGTCAATGTGCCCGTGTATCCAAAGTATGGAAACCTTAAAGTGTTATATAATCGTCAGCTTTTATGCATCCAAGCACATCACATTAGAAACACTTCAGCAGAGGCCTACTGCACAAAACTATCTTAGAGTGGGAAGAATGCTTGATTTGGAATTTAATTCCAGCTGAGTTACTAATTAGCTACATGACCTTGGGCAAGCCACCTTACCTTTCTATACTTTAGTTATCTCATCCATAAAATATGGAGATTAGCAAAAAGAGCTTTGTGATGCCTTTTGTCACTCACATTCTCTGATTCTGATGTATATCACCCCAGAATATCCTGGTCTGGTCCATTTGCAGCACTGCTTCTTGAAGAAGAAGCCTGTCTGTCTCTGGAGCACTGAGATTCAATATTCCTTTGTTTTTGGCTTGCTGCATCGTTTTAGAACAGTCTTTTGACCTCCTACACTTACTTTGAACTCTCTTCTCTGCAGGTATTTGATTATTCATTCCAATACTGTGAAATTGGCCATAGTCTATGAATAAAATAAGCCATTTTGAAAAGTCTGTGAGTTTCCTTTTCCTTAAAGTAGCAAGTATAAAAACTTGACACCATATCATTACAGAAACTAGGGAAAAGCAAGTACTGTTGTGTAGCACTTTAATAAGTTCTTCATTTAGTAATTGTTGCTAAATTAAAAACTTGGGAACATTGGTAGCATAGTTAGATTTACTTTGGCGTGTCTTCACAGATTTTAAACAGACTTAAAAATCACCTGTGTATAGAGCACTAGCCAACTGAAATTAGAAATTTTGGATGTAATTGTGTATTTTATTTATAAGCATTAGGGTGTTTAAGAGCATTTTAGCCATTGTAGAGTAAGGATATTTCCAACTTTTAAAACTTTAAAAATTAGAAAACATACTGAAATTGGTCTGTGGGTCTCTTTTCTTTTTTTTCACTCCTTGTGTTGGGTATTAGGTCATTGTTTATCTCATAAGTAGAAAATGTACAGTATTTCCTTTTATTTGTTGAGATTAGTTGTTTTTTGTTGTTGTAGTTGTTTTTTTGTATAATGTAGAAATTCCTTTTTACATGTCAAATAGCTTTCTTTTGTAAGTCTCCCAGCCCATTTCTATTCCTATACCCTCAGTAGTTAATTTTTGGAGTGTTTAACTACCTTTTCTACCAGAGTTGTTTAAGACCCTTACTGAAAAGATAAATCAGGGATAACTATTCATATTACAGGAGACTTTTTGGATTTACAAAAGTCCCTAGAAGCTTCTTTTAAATACTATTTTTTAATATATTTAAAACATGATTTGCTTTTTTAAATTTTCATCTGCATAGTTTTGAAAGAATTTATGTATTGTGTAAAGTTAACATTAAGATTCTTACTGCATGATTAGATAATTTTGAACTTGAAAAAAAGCTGAATAATATAGATGATAACTTAGATAAATGTATAATGATTGGTAGAAACTAGTGACATGCTGACCATCAGAATTTTCAGCCAAATTCTTCCTGGAATGTCTTATGGAAACATCTGTCTCTTAGTTTCTGAATCTTGTCTGTGAAAATATTGATATAAATTCATTTCAGATGTCTTCCTGACAAATAGCTGATACTTAAATAGTAGTTTTCTTTTCTTTTTTTCTTGTCAAAGTGGGAGAAGGAATAATTTTAGTACATAACCACAGTTCCCAGGTAACATTGTTTGAGGGGTTGGGGCATACAAGGAATAAATTAAGGCACTGGATATCTCATGAGGGGTGGGGCCATGAACTAAATGTAAACTTCATCTAGATCACATTTCTGCCTAGGTGTAGCTGTTTTCTTTACCTTGCTATCTTCTGAACTCAGCTATGTAGAAAAAAGGCATAGGAAATCTTATAGATATGTGAACAGTTACACTACAAGGATGTGCCATATACCACTAAGTATATTAAAAATATCTGTCCTGGTGATTACAGACTCTGTTGTTGTTAAATCACCATATAAAGCTTTACCAGCACTGTACAAAAGACACCATCCTATAAAGTTATGGGTGAGCATAAGAGCAAAGAGGGCTCCACCAAGAAATGTTTAATAAAGATTCTGCAAAATAGAAAAATGCATTGTTATATTCAGACAGGGCACATGAACATCCTGTTTTAACACTTTTTTTTTAAGAGGCCCTCTATAAATAGGATTCTTGGGCTGCTGACTGAAAGAAACCTCAAATTAAACCCACCAAGAAATACCTTGGTTAAACTATAAGACTTTACTGTTTAAGATATATGTTTGTATGTGTATATGTATTTATACATATGTGTGTATATTTGTGTATACACACATGCACATTTATGTATGTGTTGGGTAACCAAGAGAAAGTTTATCTTCAGAGACAATAAATTCTAATAGTTCAGTATTGGTACTTTTCGTTGAGAAACCGGAGAATAAATTGGATTCTTATACAGGAGAAGGGAGGAATATAAGTCATTCTTTCAAAAAGAAACAAGAGATGAGCATCAGGGTATTTAACATGCAAGTACACCAAACAAATGAGACACTTAGAAGGTGAACAAATACAGTAAACAAGAATGGACTAAGCAGCATAATCCTCTCATGCTTCTAAGAAAAGACAAGGTTATTTTTTTTAATTTCATTTGTGAAACTAAGGTCAGAAAGGCAAACTAGGCTAGTCAAAGCAACAAGACACCCTGAGGGAAAGACAGGAGTCTCTCTTTAACATTCATTTATTCAAAGCAGGAAGAATTGAATTAGTGAGTGTATCACAGCTCACAATCCGTGTTGCCTCATAACTGAAGGAGTATTTTGGGTTTGGGGAAGTTCAGAAGAAAGTTGCTTGGGCTGGAGGAGGTGAGGAAGGAGAATCAGGAGGCAATACAACTTAATATCAAGAAGAAAAGAATGATTTTATCTCTTTTTTCCATCTCTGGAACTCTGGGAAAAAGAAGAGAGCGCTGGGTGTGAAGGGGCAGAGGACCCTGAAACAGGAGTCAGATGCCACCAGAGGCAGTGAAAGACTTGAGACATATCAAGTATATATATTCCCCTGGAGGTAGGGATGTGCAACACAAGCCTTACTTTGGGTTGCTTCAAGGATGAGAACAGACCTCAGGGATTTCTTAAAACTATAATGTACTGCCTTAGCTTCCTAAGGGAGTCTTTTGAGTGCATGGACATGGGGATCCACAATTGGATTTATGATCTTAGGATGGAGAGGGATGCAATTGGATTGGGGGGGGGGTCCTGTGACACAAAGATAATAATTAACTTCCACCATACCGCACTCCTTCCTGCAGGAATTATGTCTGTGAGTAAGGCTTATTAAAGTGTCTTTTGAGAGAGACAGCCAGCCAGAGTGTTATTGCACTGATGTATGAGCCGGATAGAGGAGGGAGGAAGGGTTGTTTTTCAAAATTCTTATGCTGTATGAGGAACGTACAGAAAGTAAAAAATAGAATGTGTAAGCAGAAGTTAACTTCCACATCATTTTAGAAGGGCTTAACGGAGTAAATATAGGGATGAAATAAAATAACATTCCTTTGAAAAAAGCCCCACAAATGAATGTAACTCAAGATATTAGATGATGGAATGTTATAGGGAAGATTTAAAGCTACAATTCACGTGGACCTAGTGCTAACTGGGGAAAAGAGGGAGGTTATTAAAGAAAATGTGAATGGGTTAAACTCTCCAACAAAACAAAAAGAATGGTAAAATAGGATTTTTACTTATTGCATAATTTAAATTTTTTCCTCAAAATGATTGACCATTTCAATTCTACCAGCCATAAATTTTCTATTTTTTCAGGGTCCCTCCATCATTGAATTTTTCCATCTTTGCCAAATTGGTTGGTGTGAAGTGATACTTCTGAGATATTTTAATTTGCATTTTACTTAAGACCAATTTTGAATTGGATTGTTGTTGACAATTCGTGTTTCTCTTGTGAAAATTATTCATCTTCTTTAGCCACTTATCCGGGATTGACTCTTAATTTTATAGATTTGTTTAAGTTGCTGGTAGATTTTGGTTGTCCGATTTTTAGCAGAGATGTTTAATGAGAAGATTTTTTTCCCAGTCTTTATGCTTTCTTTTCTAACTGCACTGATTTTACTTTTTTAAATTTTTATTTTTATATAATCATGCTCCTCTGTTTTGTCTTTTATAATATTATCTGTGCCAAAACCAAAAGAAGAATATTGAGGTTTATTGTTAAACATAAAACATGTCTCTTTCTTTTTAATTATTCCACAAGATATTCATAGTAATGATGTATATATATTGTAATGGGGGTTGGGGGGAAGGGGAGAGAAGAGAGAAGAAAATAGCATTTTGACCAGCAGTAATTTCAATCTAATGTTATATTCTGGCCACAAGCTTTATTTATTTTGATAATTGCAATCTCCACAACCAGACTAAATCTGTTTTACACACATACACACACGCGCGCATCTAGGTGGCACCTGTGGATAGAGTGCTGGGCCTGGAGTCAGGAAGACTCATCTTCCTGAGTTCAGATATATGTAGAGAAAAATGGTATCTTTAAAAATAATATTTTTCACGTCTGTTCTTGATATGACATTTACACTGATAAAAGATGTATTTTGTTCTGTTATAGTCCTTTATTATAAATAATATTTATCATCTGGCTTACTTCTGGCTTCTTTCTGTACTGGTTTATAATCCCAAAGACCATTGAACACAATTGATGTAAGTCTAGCCCAAGTTCTTTAAAAATAGTAAGTACAAGTACAAAGAGGTCAGGGCAGAAAGTCTTTCTTAAACTGTCATAGCATATTGATTAAATGCTTGTGATTCAGTAAATCAGAAGCATTCATTCTGAAAATGAAATATAGACATGGATATATAGTAAGTACAGGGAATATCATGGCAAATGTTTTCATTTTCCTTTTTGAACTTTCTCATTACTGTGGGTACTTCCTTCATTGGTACAGTTTGCAACCCCTCAGTGTTCTCATCCTAGGTGCTATTGTGCATTCCCTTCCAAAAGTACTCCATAGAATATCTACCCAATGCCTTGGAAATTTTCACTTAGGGTCTTCTAATGTTTTGGGTACCATCATAGCATTCTATGGGTTATTCTACTTTCTTGCTGCATAGCTGGCCCAACTCCTTTTTCAATTATATATTTCACAAATGTCTTTTATATAATGAGTATTCTTTGATAATATGCTAATGGCTGCTTATGTTTATCATGAGAAAGCACCATTACTCTTTGTTTTACCTGTGATTTTGACTCTTTGGAGATTGTGATTTTCCATGCTACATAACTACAAATCACAACCAGCATACTGCAATTACTTTTTCAATACAGTCTTTAAAAGAAGCTGTATTTTGAGTGAGTAATGAAATTTTATGGTTAGACTTTTTTCTTAGTGAGTTTTGATGGAGTATCACATAACTGCTTTGCTAGTTTGCAATCTTTTTCATGGCTTCAACACTAAATTTTATTGTAGCAATTGTTTATTAAAATATTCCATTTTGCCCTAAAGCCCTTTCTGATCATAAATATTCAAGTGTCTTTATCCTCATTCCTAGGAGTACTTGGAACAAATGTAAACTTTTTGAAATCACAAAAGATTTCCCAGCCTGTTGTTGAGATGGAAGAAGTTACTGGCAAAGTGTACCTCTGCAAGAGCAGTGGCACTTCTGTGATAAGCAGAGACAGTTTAGAAACAAATGGTAAGATAGAAGTTTTTGCAGGGTTTTTTGGAGGGTGGGTTAGGGTGGACAGGGTTTGGAGGAATGGAGTTTGAGATTAGTTGATTAATTACAGTTATTAAAACTATATTTACATTTTGAAGAATGGATTAATCTGGGAATATTTTGGAACCTCTTCCCCTGGAAAGCTTTAATTGAATGAGCTATTTGCCTAAAATGATTTAGTAAACTTCCTTGAGCTTTAGATGAGCTCTGTGGAGCCCTTATGCCCCAATATGTGATTCATAAATTTCTCATCTATGATATGGTGAGAGTGAGATAGATAGTAGAGAAGAGAAAATTAGGTAGAAAGAGTTTTGGTTATTTTTACAGTTTTCATAACTTTTTATGTGGGTATGTTTATTATTGAAATAAATTTACTAAAACTTTTTGTGCATTGTTAAACATTTCTTTCTAATTTAGATTCAGTTGTTGCTTCTGGGCCTAATCTTGGCATTTTGGGATTGGATACTTTAGAAGAACAAGAAGAAAAGGAAAGATTTTTTGCCATACTTGAAAAAGGCCTAACATCAACCATTGATTATTCAAAATTAAATAAGGAATTGGATTCTAATGAGTCTACAAAATTAAAAGATTTACTCAGGTAATGTCAAATTATGTCTAACAAGGAAATGTAAATGTACTGTTTTTACAGTGTATTACTGAAGATAGGTATATACATTGAAGAAGCCAAAGTTTTGCTCACACTTGAAAAACAGAAATTAAGATCATTACTCAGTTCTTGCTCAATATATGAAGGACTCTTCTTGTCTGTTAAGTAGAATAGAAAGTTGCCTATGTTGTATCAGTGGAGAGGCATTAGAAAGGCCATCCTGCTCTACATACTTCTCAAGCTCATCTGAAATTTCACTGGCTAACGTGAAGCTTTCCATTCCTTTGAGTAAAGTATTCTTCATTCCAAAGCACTTTTTATTTGAAGAAAATATAGTAGAGTATGGCATTAAATCACTAAAACATTATTGTGAATTAGTTTATTGGACCCACTTTCCATAGTGAGAGGCAACATGGAGTTCCTGGGTATCATTATAACAGCAATGAACAATCCAAAAAGAAGACAGAAAAAGAAAGTGGTATTTAAGGTGAGGAATATAATAAACGATGTTTCATGTACTGCTGACTGCTCAGAGGATATTGAAAAAGATTTTCAGGAAAGCAAGAAAACAGTTTTGGAGGAGGTGCCATCATTTAGTTCAGTAACTAAATTTGATGAAATATATCTATGTCATAATGTATTGGAAATCATTTATCTGAACTTCTGTCATTCTCAGTTTTATAAGAAAGAAGCAAGTGATTCAAAATCAAGATAATTTGTAGGAACTTTAAAAAATATACTTATACTTCAGATTGTAGGTTATACATCTCCTGAGGTTAATACCTACATAGACCATTGTTTCATATTATCTGTTAATTGAAACGGCAGTTTGGTATCATGGATAGAATTCTGGACCTGTTCTCAGGAAAACGTAGCTTCAGATTCCATTTCAGACACTTCTCACTAGAAGCTGTTTTTTTCTACTTTATAGGTTTATCAAAGGCCATGGTGCCATTGAAATCTTATGCTCTTTTTGGCATGTTTATGTGTATCCTAGAAAAATCAGGCACCAGCATTAAATTTGTTAAAATTTCAGATATGTTACATTAGTACTATAAGAAATGTTGATATTACCAGGAAACCAAGTCCAGGGTACAGTCAATGAAAATACAGACAATAGTTAATCTAGTAAATAATGAACACCATATATAACTCAGTTTTTAATAAACTGGAAATGAAATGTTCTTGCCAAGTACTCTTAAAGATGTATACACTAGATAAGTACCAAGAACTCTGGTTTCTATTGTACTATCTCCCTTCAAATAACTATTTTCTATCAAAAATAGAAATTTAATTTTGTTTAGGATTGAAAGATTAGAAAATAATATTATATATTATATATTATATATATCATTATACATCAGAACACACTGTTCTAGCTACAAGATACATTTAAGCTAAAAACATAGTGCTTTTAACCTAAATAAGAAGAAATGTAACATTACTGTTTGTTTGTTTTTAAACAAAATTGAAGAAATGGCCAGAAAAATATAAATCCTCACCAAAATATGACCATTTTATTTTTTTTCCCCTGACATTATAAAATTGTGGTAGGGATGACAAAATGAATGAAGGAAAATTAGTAGAGAGATGGTAAGATCTTAGGAGAGATAGTAAGAAACAGGAGACTGGCTGTACCATCCTCTGACTATAATGATTCTGGTTCAGATTATGTTGATTTTGCCACCACCTTCCTGCCTGCCTGGAGTCTTGCATCCTGGGAAATGCAACTCTCCATGGACTTGAGAAAGACGTAATTGATTGGCTGTCATAAACAAAAGTGACATACTGTTTCATGGGGTGCACTATATTTGATATGATTAGGGCCTGCCTGAAATCCTTTTGCGCTTTTAGTGGATCTGTGATTTTTGGTCCATGTTTAGCTTCCACCCTAGGATTAGCTTGACATCTAATATGTAACCATGGGTATTCTCCAGGTCTCTGACCTGGGCCCTTTTCTCTTCTTCCTCCATGCTCTTTCAGTTGTGATCTCATCATCTTTCATAGATTCAATTGTTATTTCTGTGCTGATGATACTGAAATCTGCTTATCTAGCTGTAACCTCTCAGCTGACCTCCAACTGCCTATTAGGTATCACTAATTGGATGTCCTGTAGACATCTTAAACTCAACATATCTAAAACTGAATTCATTATCTTTCCTCCCAAATCCTCATGCCTCTCAGACTTCCCCATTACTGTCAAGGGCACCACCATCCTCTCAGTCTCCCAACCTCAGTGTCACCTTCAATACCACACTTTCTCTAATCTCCCCCCCCACCCCGCCATATCCAATCTATTGCCAAAGCCTGTTGATTTTGCCTTCATAACATCTCTTGTATAGGCCCACTTTTGTCCTCTGATACTGCCCCTACTCTAGTGCAGGTCCTTATCACTTTACTTCTGGACAATAGCCTACTGGTGAGTCAGCCTGTCTCGAGTCTCTCCCCACTCCAGACCATCCTCCATTTGTCTGTCAGAATGATCTTCCTTGAGTGCAGGCCTGACCATGTAACACCATCTACTCAGTAAACTCTAGTATTTCCAAGCCAGGAGTCAGGAAGATCTGAGTTCAAATATGACCTCAGACAGTTACTAGCTATGTGAACTTGGGCAAGTCATTTAACCCTCTTTGCTTCAGTTCCTCATCTATAAAATGAGCTGGAGAAGGAAATGGCAAACCATTCAAATATCTTTGCCAAGAAAACCCCAAATGGGGTCGTGAAGAGTCAGACGCGACTGAAAACATCTAAACAACAAATTTCCCTGTTACTTCCAGGATCAAATATCAAATCTTTTATTTGATGTTCAGAGCCATTCATAGTCTGACCCCCTCCTACCTTTCCAGTCTTCTCACACCTTTCACACACACATCTTCCTCAAACAAGACACTTCATTTCATCCCCCGGCATTTTCAGTGGCTGTCTGTCCCCCATGCCTGGAATGCTCTCCCTCCTCAATTCAGCCTCCTGGATTCCATGGCTTCTCTCAAGTCCTAACCAAAATCCCAACTTCTACAGGAAGTCTTTTACAGTCCCTCCTAATTATAGTGCCCTCCCTCTGTTCATTATTTATTTGTGCTTGTGTATAGCTTGTTTATAACTAGTTGTTTGTATGTTGCCTCCCCCATTATATTGTGAGCTTCTTGAGGGTAAGAACTGTCTTTTTCCTTTCTTTGTATTCCCAGTGCTTAGCACAGAGCCTGACTAAGCATTTAATAAATATCTGTCCTCATTATTCACCCCATATTTATTAAGCACTTTCACTGTTCTAAGTATTGATTGGAGTTCTAAGATTCCAAATGTTTATGACTGTTTCTTAAGTTTTCTTGGGTTAGCCTCTCCTGAAATTGATGCAGATAATTACAAAATTCTGTATTAGTTAGAGATCCATTGTATCTCCTTACTGGAAGCAGGTACTATTTATTCCTGTGCTTTTATTGATAGATGAAGTTTTTAAAAAAAGCATTGTAGAGGGGAGACTCTTCCTTGGTTCTCTTTGTATCTGTCTGACCATTCCTTGGTGTCCTTTGCTGTACATGGTTTCTGCAGTGAACTAATCCCACCTCTTAAAATCCTTAGCTTCCTTCAGAACTCAGCTCAAGTACCACCTCCCCTAAGGGGCCTGATCCTCGCCAATTGCTGGCCCTTCCTCTTGTCTTCCCCCTTAGAGTGAAGCTCCTTGAGGACAGGGACTGTTTCTGTTTAAAAACAAACCCTTTTTTTTGTCTTTGTATGCCCACTGTTTAGTACATAATAATCATTTAATAAATAATTGATAGTTCTCTCCCTGTTCTGAAACATTCTCCACCAGTCTCCAAAGCTCTAGCTTCTGTTTTAATACAAGAATGCTTAGGGAAATTAATGGTTTTAGAGATAACATAAATATGCCTAGAATTTTGCCTTGATAACAGTATAGTTCAAATGTAATCCGAATTAACATAAATGTTTTATATAGAAATGAAACCAAAATGGAATCAACTGAAGATGAAAATGAGGATGATTCTAAACATGAGGAAATAGCAGGTAATTCCATGTTGGTCTTAAAGCAATATTGTTAAAGATGTAACATGAACTACATTTTACAGTTAACAGAAAGAGACATTGTAAGATGAGAGTGCCATGAGTTAAAAGGAAAATCAGTGTGGCTTTGTGGAAGAAGCTTTGAATTGTAGGGAGGTGGCTGCTAACAAACTGTTACACAAATCATTTAAAATACCCAAATACTGTAGTCTCATCTCAACAGTGGATATACTAAGACTGAAAAATTAGTTACCTTATTGCCACAAAATAATCTTGAGTCTGCTCAGGCAATTCAGTACGCAAAAGGGCACAGCTGTCAGAAAGTAAGTAGCACAACTGGCAAAGGGTGTAGGTGGGCAAGCAGGAGACACCTCCATAACTGAAGGGATGAGATGATGCCAACAGAACAGATGTACAGCACTAGCAACCAAGGAACTCCTGAAACAAGCAAGATCCTGGTCTTGCCGGTAGCTTTTGTGCCCTTTTTCTAGGATAACAGCCAATCTTAGGGCAAAATTAGTCCAGTGCCCACAGGGTGAATGAGTGTACCTATTTGGAAAGGGAGGGGGGAAAGAAAGTGGGAGCTAAAGACAGATCTTCAATGAAGCCTTGGCCGCTATGATTCTATGGGTTTTTTTTTCTTGAACCATGAGCAATATAATATCTTCCCTAAGTATAACAGCATATTTTAAACTTCTTGTTTTGGGGGATTTCGGTCCCAGATTTTTATTTTATTCATATAGGGAACTTTGATGAAGAAAATCCCTCAACTACTATGCTATGCTGCCTCTCATATAAAAGAATTCTGTTTAAAAGAAAATAGTATTAAATTATTTTGGTTAAATTTTCAGAGTTCAATTCCTATTTGGGTTTTTATTAATTTACCTTCTTGTGCTCACTGAAATATGAACCGTTATCCAAATTAGCACTATAATAATTTATTACAACATAAACCATTAAAGAGTTATGTTGGTTTTTTAAAAAGATTTCACTGTTTATTTTCTGTCACTATATTTCAAGTATCACAAGATTTGTTCAGAGTTAATTTTCAGGTAACTTTTCTAAAAGAAAAAAAAGATGTCTTCAAAGAGAACCCTTTTGTTTTAAATTCCAAAATATAAAAATAGTTGTGAGAATTGAGACATTCTCATTAGGGCAAATTTAATCTAAATTACCTTCATGTTGGCTTTGGAATTGTGCTTCATTTTATTTGGAAGCCCACATAACATTTTACTGGAATTTAAAATTTTTGAAATAGTTTTCTTCTGTGTATGTTTTTCTTTTTCCTTCAGAAAATTACAGTGATGATTTTGAAGATGATGGAGATGTTGATGTATTGTCGTCACCTACTGAAAAGGAAGAAAATCAAAACAAGCAAAATCCCAAATCTTTGGAAGAGATAAATGCTCCAGCCAAGGTATGCCTCTGTTGAGTATTTAATAGTTTCTAATCTTGCCTTTGAGTTTTAGAATGTTGAAATGTTCATATCCTTAGCTCCCCAAGTCAGTTCATGGTTCTTTAATGTCTGGAAAACATCTTCAGAAATTTAGAATGAAGTTATTACTAAGTATCTGTGATTCATCAGCATAAGGAATTTATGCTAATGGAAACCCCCCAGAAGACAGATATAACTTTTAGTGACTGAGTTGATAGTTCCTAAACAAGTTTACACTGTTAATAACTGTCAAAGGTAGACTTGAACCCAGGTCATCCAGACTCAAGAACCGTATTCTCTCTAAACCTCTTCAGGTTCTAAAGTTAAGCTTGTGTAATTGAAAATGTAAGAGTTGGGGATGGAGAGAAGGAAGGAGGTAGAGAATTTGGAACTGAAAATAAAGGTGAATTTCTTTTAAAAAAATGTAAATAAAATTTATATTGCAAATCTACTAAAAGCATATTAATTTTTTTTGCAAAGCCAGTCAGTCCTTTTAGAGCACAAAAACAAATTCTTCCCAACCCCCCTCTTCCCAGCCTCAGGTATTTATAGTGGTAAGGAAAAGGGCATACTGGAATATGCTTGGCAAAAGCAATGGGTTAAATTCTTCTCATTCCCAAAGGAGGTCCCTGATGCTACTTCTTCTACCCCACCTCTCTCATCTATTCCCAGTTCTCCTCAGTAGCTGATAAGATGAAGCAATGATTATTAAACTATTACTTGATGTTTATGTTCCAAATTTTGTTTTAGGTAACAAATATTACTGTAGTAATAATAATAGATTGAATTTATGTCTAGCACTTTAAGGATTAAAAAATGTATTGCCAGTAATAATAGTTCTATGAAACAGGTAGTACAAATAATCTTCTTCTTGTTGTCCCCATTTTGAATTGAGCAAACTGAGGCTTGGAGGGATTGAGTGATTTACAAGGGGTTACATAGTAAGTATGAACTCTGGGATTTGAAACAAAGATTCTTTATGTAAATTCCATACTCTTTCTACTACATCACTTTACGTACATAGGAAAAGCCCTGTTCCACTGCATTTTGTAGCTGCATTCTGGAACTTTTGCAGAGGAGTTTTTTCACATGCCTGTGAAGAGCAGGGACACTTCCTCCCTGTCCCCATTCCCCCCCATCCCTATCCCCTTCCCCATCGGCCACACCGCCTCAGTTTGTTTCCTTCTCTGTAAAATTAGGATAATTCTTGTGCTTATCCATTATGGGGATCAAATTAAGTTATGTAGGTAAAGCACTTTAAAATGATAAAATACTCTAACAATGTAAGTTATTCTAAATGATACCTTCCATATACGGAATATAAAACTTGTTCAGAGGCAGTGGTAATTCTGAGGAGAGATTTCAACTCTGACCTTTCCTAACTCTACTCATTGTAGAACATCTGACCTCCTTGTTAATAGCCTCACCTTTCAGAAGGTAGAGAAAATAACTAAAGGAATTAGTATTCTGGACTCAGTTCTTACCTGCAATAATTTATAAAGAATTTGGCTATGTGGTTTCATGGATAGAGCACTGGATTTGGAATCAAAGAACTTGAGTTCAGATCCTGGCTCTGATAATAATTACCTGTTTAACCTTGGTAGAGTCACATAAAGGCCTGTGAGCTTTCTTCATCTATAAAATGAGACCATTGGACTAGTTTACCTCTAAAGTCCCCTCCAGCTCAAAATGTGTAATCCCATATGTGGCAACAGGAATCTTGGGAGAAAATAACCCTCTTATCTTGGTTTACAATAGAAAAGAAATGAAATTATCTGAATTGTCACACAGATACCCTGGACTTAATAAAGCTGACATTGTAAATGTCGAAGCAAAAATGGATGAAATAATTTTAACTGAGAACTCAGCATGAAGAATGGGAGATTCTGAAGCATTAAATCTTAACTATGTAAAAGTATAGGAGTTCAATGAGGAAAAAAAAGTGGGAAACATCAAAAGGAACCAAAGTTGTTGTACAGGGATAACTTCAAAATAGAAAATAGGAGGTTCAAAATATGAAAAAAGGAACACAATCAAGAACAAGTACAAGAGAATATCATTAACCTCTAAGAATGGTTCTAAGAAGGCAAAAAATCAGAATGAATGAGATTTGTGAAAAAAGCTAAAAGTAACAAAAAGTATTTTTTATGTGTGGAGTGTGTTTCCCACATAGGTAAGAATAAGGCCACTGCTAAGGGAAGGTAGTTTTTGTTTTATAATAAGAATTTTTTGCCAGTTAGCAAGCATTTATTTTCTCTCCTACTTCCTCCCTCCTCTGCTGAAAAAAAAAAAAAGGAAGGGAAGACTCTTATTACAGATACGCATAGTCAGGTGGAAAAAAATTTTTTTTTCCATATTGGTCATGGGAAAAATGTGTGTCTTATTCAGCGTGTTTAGACCATCACCTCTCAGGAGGTAAGATACCATTCATTCATCCTCTAAAATGATGGTTGGTCATTGTGTTAATCAGAGTTCATAAGTTTTTCAAAGTTAGTTTTTATAATGTTTAGTCCTTATATAAGTTATTTTGGTTCTGCTCACTTCATTCTGCATCAGTTCACATGAGTCCTGTCATGCATCTCTGAATCTGATGCGTTCATCATTTCTAACAATGTAGTAATATTCCTTTACATTCATATGCCATACTTTGTTCGGTCATTCTTCTATTTGACTGAAGACATATTACCCAAGTGCCTTTTACTCTAACCTTGAAGGAAAGAGGCTAATGAGAAAGAGTCAGTAGCGAAAGTCTGGCCAGCATCAATTGGGAAACAAGTTATGGTATATGAATGTGATGGAATACTATTGTACTGTAGGAAATGATGAAGGGGATGGTTCCAGAAAAACCTGGGGAAGATTTATGTGAATTGATGCTACGTAAAGTAAGCAAAACCAGGAGAACGATCTACGTAGTAATTGCAGTAGTATAAAGATAATCAGCTGTGAAAAACCTAGTAACTCTGATCAGTACAAAAGATTCACCGCAACTCCAAAGGACTTATCATATAAAATGCTATCCACTTCCAGGGAGAGAACTGTTAGACTCGGAGGGCAGAATGAAGATTATTTTTTTCCTCTATTTTTCTTTCCTGGAAGATATGGTTAATGCAGAAATATGTTTTCATGACTTCATATGCATGACAGATATCATATTTCTTCCCTTCTCAATAGGTGTGGGAGGGGCTGAAGGAAGAAAATGTGGAACTGAAAATAAAAGTTAATTTTTTTTAAAAAGTATGAGCAGACCAGAAGCAAAAGGTGATCCAATGCAAAAGATGTTAGTGTAGGGCCATTGGCTATAATCAGTCCCAAGCCACCCATTGTAAAAAAAAGAGAAAGCTATAGAGCATATAATTACCCCTCTTAAAGTTTATTAAATGAATCTTCCTTGCTTTCTCAGTGGCTAATTCCCATTCCCAGGGACCATCCAGGAATCAAGCGTTTGAGAGTATTCTTTTTAGCACATGCCAGCATGCTGGCCCCTCCTCATACATGTTCCATAAGTTCCCAGTTCAAATCAGGGAGGCTCCCCTGATTATCATCATCACATATATAAAGGGCTTTACCAACATAAAAATGCTATGTACTTGTCAATTTATTATAATACTTGGAATGGAAAAGGTGATAATTTCACTCTGTTCTGGATTGGTCCCGCTACATACATAGTATCGTCTTCACCTTTTGCACATCAAATTCTTTTAGGAGAAACTAACAGAGGAAGGTTCAAAATAAGGTGACCACAGTGGTAAAATCACTGCAATTTGTATCCTGTGAAAAATGTTTGGAAAAAAAAGATTTATTTTTCCTGAAGAAGATGAAAGGAAGAAGTGATAGTTGTTTTCAATTATTTGAAGGGCTGTCATGAAGAAGAGGGAAACAGATTGGTTCTGTGTTATTTGATAAGTCTGATTATCATTGAGTAGGAAAGATAGAAAGAAATTTTGATACGACATAAGGAAGAACTTTTCTATTATGATTTAGAGTGGAATGCTCTATCCCAGAAGATAGTGAATGCCCTTTCACTGAAGGTAATGTCATCTGTCAGCTATGATGTAAGTAGGGAGGCTCTCTCAGTGGGAAGCTAGACTAAAATAGACTTCTAAGGTCCTTTCCTACTCCATGTTCTGTGATACTTGGCTATGATATAGCATCCTGTGCCTTTTTTTTTTCAGTATGATAGAGTAAAAAGAATAATTAATTTTGCAAGCCAAGAGAAATGGGTTCTAGTCCAGCTCTTCTACTAACTTATTGAATGACTTTGGACAAATGACTTCTTTACTTTGTGCTTCGCTTTCCTCATCTGAAAATGAGAGTATTGGGGGGCACCTAGGTGGCACAGTGAATAGAGCTCTAGCTTTGGAGGCAGGAGGACCTGAGTTCAATTCCAGCCTCAGACACTTAACACTTACTAGCTGTGAGACCCTGGGCAAGTCACTTAACCCCAATTGCATCACCAAAAAAGAAAAAAAAAGAGTATTGGACTAGATCTGAATGTCGATGATTCATCATGCAAGCCTTATCATTGTCCAGTCTCTTTAGTATATAGCCTGCTAGTCTAACTAGAATATAACCATATTCAATTTGAGATAATTATATTTTAGATGCTTTTATTCCTTTGGGCTCTAATCGTGCCTTTTATATGGTACTAGTCTAGTTTATATATTGAAGAGGAAAATATTTAAAATATTTTTAACTATCATAGCATTCCTATAACAATAGGTACAAATTCATTCATATTCTAAAAAGCAGAAAAAAGGTTTTCCAAGTTGTTCAGGTGTTGATATGAATGTTAGTAATTTTGTGCTAGTTTTAAGTTTACATTTTTAATTTGCAATTTTAATTTACACTTTTTCTCTTTTAACTTAGAAAGAAGAGAAAACTGGCATGTTAGCCAATGGTGAGTAGCTTTTATGTTCTAAGGTTATAATTGGGCAATAAGGTTTGGCAGAGCTACAAATAAAACATCAAAGAAAAACTAGTATTCTAATACAAGGAATAAGATTCTGCACATCTTATCAATAATATATTCCTTATAGCTAACTCAAATCTATCTTAATGTAATTTTAAAATAATTTCCAATTTATTAATTTCTTAATAGGAAGAGGGGATCATTATTTTCCCCTCATTCCTGAAATATGAATATATATAACCATGTCAAGTTTGTTAGATATATTATGTATATTTAATCTATCTGTCTATAAGCATTTTCATTCTGTTTAGTATACACAGAATATGTGACCCAAATGCTCTTATTCTTGAGAACCACAAATTGACCTCTTTATTTCATTTTTCCCTCATATATTCTTTTAGTCATGCTGCTGGATTCATTAGATTCAGTTGCAGAAGTGGAATTGGATTCTCAAGATAAAAGAACAACCAAATTACAAGCACAGCCAGAAGTCACTGATAATGAAATGACCAGGACAGGTAAAGATGTTTTTTAAATAGTCTGCTCTCTAAATATGCACCTTTTAAAAAATTGTCATTTTGTGATTGCAGCTTCATCTCTAGAAAAGTATTGCTATCACAACTTTAACTTTAAGGATTTGGTAAGAAATCTGTAGATTTAAGCATTTCAACCATTTAAGTTATAGCTATGGTTTAATTGGACATAGTCATCCTAATTTGCATAATAATGGATGTTATTTGAGTCATTAATATTCTTGACATTGACTTGAGATTGTTTTCTTTGTATGTTGTAGCTCTTCTACTAGTTTAGTGTTTTAGGGTAGAGAAGTAGAGCGATATATTTCTTCTTTATACCTCAGGATCATCAGATTTAGAACTTGAAGGCACACTAGAGAATACTCAGTGAACATCCTAATTTTTTAGATGAGAAAACTGGGGTTCAGAGAAGTTAATAATTTGTCCTAGGAGATATGACAGGGACTGCTGAAGATAACTGTATCAGATCAGATCTAAAAGAATACAGTCTGGAGGAGGAAAAGCCAGGTCAGATCTAAAAGAATACAGTCTGGAGGAGGAAAAGCCTTTCAGGCATGGACAGCTGGAGAAAATGCCCAGAGTTGGAAAATGAAGTATCTTGTTTGTAGGAACTACAAGTAGTTCAGTGTCACTGGACTGAAGAATAAGTGGACAGGGTTGGGGTGGGGGTAATTAAGATATAAGAAAACTGGCAAGGTAGGAAGTAGCTAGGTGAAGAAGGACTTTGAAAGTCAAATAGAATTTTTATTCTTGATTTTGGAAGTGATAGGGAACCATTGGAGTTTACTGAATTGGGTGGGGGATTTAAAGTGGGGTCGAGGGGAGATAGGGTTAGATAGGGAAGATCAGTTTGATATTGATTCAGCTGAATGGAGGCTGGACTGGAGTGTGAAGAAACCTGAGGCGAGGAGACCAACCAGCAAGCTTTTGCAATAGTCTGTGCTACAGGTGATGAGGCCCTTCATCAGGGTGGTAGTAGTTCCAAATAAAAGAAGGGGGGCAAACACAAGAGATAGAAACAAAAGAACTTGACCACTGATCTGACATGGAGGGTGAGAGAATGAGGAGTTTAAGGTGATGCCTAGATTGTGAGCCTGGGTGATTGAGAAGGATGGTAGTACCCTTAACAGCAGTAGAGAAGTTAGGAAGAAGGAAGAGTTTGGTGAAAAGGCCATTAGTTTGAAAGTGACCATTTAGTTCAAAGCTAAAAACAGCACTCCCCTCAACTTTCTCGTTTCCCTCTTGAGAGAAGGAAGACTGTTGAAAGATAAAGGAAAATACTCTCATAAGGGAGATTGTGTGATATTTACCTTTATACACATGGCCTCAGCATATTTTTTTCATCTGATGTAACAGCTTGGCTAGATTCAATTCAACAAATGTTTATTTTTAGTTTTTTTCAATTATCAAGCATTTTTTTCTCTCCCTCCTCTTCTATCCCTGAAGAAAACGAAGCATTTCCATATTAGCCATGTCCAAAAATGCTACATATTCCATCAGCTCTCATCAACAAGCATTTACTAAGCACCTACTATGTGCATGACCCTGGCGATAAAAGGGAAAAGTAGTCTTGCTGCTACATGTGTACAGCTAAGTAAATATCAAGAGAATATTATATATACACACACAACACACACACACACACACACACACACAATTATTTCAATAAAGAGAGACTGCCAAGAGCTGCAAGGATCAGAAATGACCTTATGGTAGATGGTGATGCTTGAGCTAGAATAGATTCATGGTAGTACTATCTTTGAAATTTAGGCCTGTTGCCTTTTGCCTAAGGTTATGTGTGGCTGCAGAAACTAATTGCTGACTTTAGTTCTTTTCACAATAAGAACACATTAAGTCAGGCCTCTGCATAAGGGTTTGGCCAATGTTTACAGGATATATGAGGCAGCATGTTATGGTGGAGAGAACACTGGGTTTGGAGTCAGGACACACCTGGGTTCAGCTCTTGATTCCAGAACTTTCTACTGGTATGACTTTTGGACAAATCACTTCACCTCTCTGACTTTCAATATTTTCTCTGTGAAATGGGGATAATATCTCCTTAGATTATTTTGAGAATTGAATGAGTTAATATACTTAAAGTGAATGTTTTATAAATCTTAAAACACTATATAAATGTCAGCTGTTACTATTATTATTTTGTTGTTATTATTTCTATTATCATCAACACTACTACCAACATTCTATCATGTAGTAAGAGTCATGCCAGTACATTTATTTGTTCTCTCTCTACTTGCTATAGAAAGGTTAGTATGTTTACCAGCAATGTATATTGGCTATCTATAAGATGGGCTACATTCCTAAGGTAACAAATTCAAAGATTGGAAGAACCTTAGAGCTCCATCTAATGTAATCCCCCCTTTACAGATGTCTGAGGCCCAGAGGAAACTGAGGTCCAAGGAGGTGACATTTCCCAAGGTCACACTGTAGGTCACCAGTCCAGGATTTGAACCCATATGATGTAAATCCAGTATTTCTACTCTACTGTGGGAGCTTGCTCCTAAGATTTAACATTTATATTAGAAGACAGAGAAGCCCTTTTGAAATATGTATTTTAAATTTAATATGAAACTGTGAGCACTGAACATGGAGTCATGGGAACTGAGTTTGAATCACTCCTGCTGCTGATTTATCGGTGTGACTTTAAGCAAGTGACTTAATCTCTGTGGGCTGCAGTTTCTTCATCCATAAAATAAGGTGGTTAGCCTAGATGAACTCAAGGTCCCATCTTTGACCTTAAGATCCCTATGATAAGTATTACATGAAGTACAAATCTCTGACTTAGGATAGTTTCTTCTCACTCAAGGCTGCTCTGGACAGCAACCAGGCTGTCAAGGGCTAATAGTGCCATTTGTTGGTAATCATGGAGAACTGTGTGATCCCAAATCTCTTCTCTGGTGCCTGTTTTCTTCCCTTAGTCTGGAAGGCTATATTTGTTTTATTTCTTCTACTCTCTGTCTTTTACTATTTATACTAATTCCACTTCAGGCAGTCTCTCCATGTCCACATTTTTTTTAGCGCTTCTGCCCTACATCTTCCAACATTTACCCATGTACCACTAGAAAAAAACTATCTGTATTTTATTTGTGAGCCAAGAATGACCTTTATTGTAGCTGATAAGCTTAAGAGTAGTGTTTAAACACACATACCACCTACCTTATTTTCCAAAAAATTTTGTTTCCTGCCCCTTTTCCTTTGCATAGGCCTAGAGCATACTCCTTCCTCTCTTCTACCTCTTAAAATTCCTGGCTCTAATCAAAACTCACATCACCTGCTACTTCCTGCAGGAAGCCTTTCTTGGATTCTGATTGCAGCATTCAACTGAAACTGCTCTCTCCAAAGTTAACAGTAACCTCTTATTTGCCATTTCTGATGGTGTTTTCTTGACCTTTGTTCTCTGCAGCTTTTCACACTATTGATCACCCTCTCATCCTAGATAGTCTTTTCTCTCTAGGTTTTCATGACTTTACTCTCTTCCGGTTTTTCTCCTCTCTCTCTTTGGCTGCAGGTCTCATTGATGAACCATGGGTGTCTTCCAAGACTGTTCAGGGCCCTCTTTCCCTTTGTACTGTTTTCCTTGGTCATCTTTTCAGCTTCCATTGGTTTAATGATATCTCTATGCATATAATTCCCAGATATATATAAATCCAGTCCTAAACTCTCCTGAGCTCCAGTGTTCCATCACCATCTTCCTGTTGGACATCTTGAACTAGATAGACATCTCAAACAAAATCTGTCCAAAATAGAACTCATTAGCTTTCCTTCCAAACCCTCTCTTCTTCCTTATTTCTCTGTTATTATTAAGGGCACCATCATCTTCCCAGTTATCCGGCTTGAAACCTGGGTGTCATACTCAATGTCACATTAACACTCATCTCACATATCTGGTCTGTTACCAAGTCTTGTCATTTCTGTCTTTACAGCATCTCTTGTATATGTTCTGTTCTCTTTACTCACATAGCTGGCAGTCTGATATGGGCCCTCCTCCTCACCTCACAAGACTATTGACATAGTATTCTTATTGGTGTCCCTGCCTCAAGTCTCTCCCTGCTCTAATCCATTCTCTACTCAACTATCAAACTGATCTTCCTAAAACGCAGGTCTGACCACACATATCACCTCCCTATTCCATAAATTCCACTGGCTCTCTATTCCCCTGAAGGATCAAATAGAAAATCTTCTCTTTGGCTTTTAAAGTTAATAACCTGGCCCCTTCTTACCTTGCCAGTCTTCTTACTTTTTACCCTCCTCTGTGTACACTACAATTCAGTTACAGAAGCCTTCTTATTCCTCACACAAGATTCCCCCAAGAGTCCTGACACCTTTGCCTGTTCTCTGCCATCCCCTCTGCTTAGAATGTTCTTTCCCTTCAGCTCTTCAGCTTCCTTGGTTTCCTTCAGGACTCAACTCAAATCCCACTTTCTGCAGGAGGACTTTTCTGATCTTGTCGCACCCTCCTCCCCCCACCTGCCGTTCCCTACTAATGCCTTCCTCTCCAAGATTGCTTTCCATCTACTCTGTATATTTTTTGTATCTGCATTTTTTTTGCATGTTTTCTTCCCCCATTAAAATGTGAGCTTGTAGGGACAATTAAAATTTGAGGGCAGGAACTACATTTTTGCCTTTCTTTGTATCCCTAGTGTTGACAGCCATACTACTTTGAACATGCCCAGTCTCCTCTGATCTCTGAAATCTAAGCAGGGATGGGCCTGATTAGTACTTGGATGGGAGACCTCCCGGGAATAATAGATGCTGTAGGCTTTGGGAGCACCTAGGTGACGCAGCGGATAGAATGCTGAGACCAACCAGACTCATCTTCCTGAGTTCAAATCTGACTTCAGACACTTACTGCCACCTGTGTGACTCTGGGCAAGTCACTTAATCCTGTTTTGCCTCAGTTCCTCATCTGTAAAATGAGCTGGAAAAAAGAAATGAAAAATCACTATCTTTGCCAAGAAAACCCCAAATGGGGTCATGAAGAGAACAACAGTATCCCTACTACTTATCCCAAAGCCTAGCACATAGTTAATCCTTGACAGATTCTTGTGGACTTGACTAACTGATCTCCCACCTATTAGCATTTCCTGCTCTAAATTACTTTGTATTTATTTTGTATATATTTTGTATTTACATATCCCTGCTTATGAGATATATAAGCTCCTGCAATAGAAAGTAAACTCCTTATGAGAGGGACTATTTTCATTTTTATATTTGTATCACCAGTGCCTAGAAAATTTTAAGAGTGAATCGTCTCATACACTGTGATATATTTTGGATTTTTATTGGTGCATTTTAGATTTAATAAATGCTTCTTCAACTGAATTGAAAGTAACATTCAGAAACTCCATAAAGTTATCACCTACCCCTTTGAAGTAGACCTGTACGAAACTTAATAACATGTCTTTATTGAACTACCAACAGATATCGGGTAATGATATTCTGTTTATAATAAATTTCTAGAGAAATTATAATCAAAATTACATTTCCACCAGGTATGTCTTATGGACAAAGCAGCAGTGACCTGGAAGCACTGCATCAGGCCTATCATCATATTGATCAGTCTTTGGGAGACACAGATGAACCCAAAATTGAGAGTAGCAAGAGCTTAGTGCAGGATGTTCTTCAGGAAACGGATGAGTGCTCAAAAAACATCTCTACTCCTGAATCTGGTAAAATGCTCATAACTGTGACATGATTATTGCTTTGTTTGGTAAAACAGCAACCACCGATAGAAATGCTCTTACTTATGTTCCCAGGATATAGAAATATAGCCTTAAGCAGTAGGAGCTCTTTGTTGTTATAGGATACTTTTGGATGATGTTTAATGTAACTTACATATAATTCACTGTATTAATAGTAACACGTGTGTCTTTTATTGTGTCTATCCTCATTTAAAGGATTAACTCAAAAACACTACTAAGCATCATAGATTTAGCTAAAGTTACAACCATCAATAGGGTAAAATTTCAATTTCCCAAAATACATCTTGAACAATAAGAAAATTTAAATGTTTAAAACATTTTATTGATTTAATGAAATTACATCTTTTACATATTTTTAACCTATGATATAGAGCAGCTGGGTGGTGTAGTGGATAGAGCACTGGGCCTGGAGTCAGGAAGACTCATCTTCCTGAGTTGAAATCTGGCCTAAGATATTTACTTAGTTGTGTGACCCTGGGCAAGTCACTTAACCTCTTTTTCTCAGTACCTCATCTGTAAAATGAGCTGGAGAAGGAAATAGCAAACCCTAAATGGGGGTCACAGAGAGTCAGACATGATGGAAAAACCACTTAACAGCAACACCTATAGAGGGTCAGTATATATTTGGGTCAGTATACAGAACTGGCTTTCATTTATAGTCAAAGAAGGCCCTGTTTATGGTATAGAAAGACATCCCTCTCTGTAGTTGAAGGATATTGTTTATATTATGCTGACAAACCATTTGAAGAAAATGTAATTTTGATTCTAATTTTCTCTTAGAACTGATTTTTATTTTTAGCAATTCATATAATTCTTTTATTCTCCTAGCCCTGCATACTGTAGAGGAGTTGATGAAGCCTATTAGAATGGACTCATTACATGGCAACTGTTTTAGTGGTCAGCCTGTCAGGTAGCTATTTCTTTGTATATGTTCAATTTTTTAAATAGAGGCCATGGATAATTTTAAAACAATTTACTCTGATTCAAAAATATTTCTGTTTACTTATTATTGTTTTATACTAGTATTATCAAGTTCAAAATCAGTTAGATTTTTATGTGCTCTGATTTCCTGGGATTGATCCTTTTGGATAAGTATCAAAATTTCTGGTAATTAGGAATTTTGCCTAGTTATTAATTGCCTAAATCAGGTCAAGAATCAGTACTAGTATATTTAATTGGGATATCCATAAAGTGTATGATTTATGACCAAATTTCTGAATATTTTCTAAATGTTATTTACCCTATATTTTAAATTTTGACTACTCACTTCAGTGTCATATTGGGTTAAAGCTTTTTGAAATATAGAAATAATTTGGTTCAAAACTATAGTATATTTTTTTAGAGTAGAATGCTGTCATATATTGTGATAAACTTAATTTTTTTGTAACTGCTGTAATTTTGATCTATCAGTCAACAAATGTTTATTAAATTTCTGCTGTGTGCCCTGCACTAGGCTAGGCACACAGGAAACAAGGACTAAGAAAAAAACAATTCCTATTCATGAGGAGTTTGTATTCTAATGGAGGAGATAACAAGTACATATAAAACTATGTAGAGCATAGCATTAATAAATGTACACGCAAATATAAGAATATGTAGCATAAAGTTAAGAAATAAAAATATAAAGAAACACAAAGTAGTTAAATACAAGGTAGTTTGCGGGGGAGGGTGCTAGCAGTTGGGGAGATCAGTAAAGGCTTCATGACACAAATGGTGCCTTGACTGCATCTTAATTGAAGAGAGAGACTATCTGAGGGCTAGATACTAGGGTGGTACATTCCATGCATGTGGAATGGCCACTGCACGGGCAGAGATATAAAATATAGAATATTATGAGTGAGGAACAAAGAAAAGGCCATTTTAATTGAGTTTCAATGTGTAAGAGGGGAGTAATGTCCAATTTGTCTGGAAAAGTAGGTTGGGGCCAGATTGTATAGGGCTTTAAAAGTTAAACAGTGGAAATTATATTCTATTCTAGAGGTAATAGGAAGCCACTAAGGTTGGTTAAGTAGGGGAGTGACATGGTCAGTTCTACACTTAAAGTTACTTTGGCAGTGTGGTCTAGAATAAATTGGAGTGTTGAGTGACTTGAGACATGAAGACCAATAAGAAGTTGCAGTCATCTAGGAAAGAGGTCATGAAGGTCTGAACTAAAAAGTAGTTGTGTCGAGTGGAAAGAAGGGGCCAGATGCAAGAGATGTTGTAAAGGTAGAAAGGGCAAAATTTGGTGCCTAACTGATTCTGTGGGGTGAGGGGTCAGACATGATGTTGGGATTATGAGCCATGGACTGGAAGGATGGTGGTACCTTTAACTGAAATAGGGAAGTTTTGAAGAGGGGAGGTATTAATGGCAAGGAGGAAGTTCAGTTTTAGACACATTAAGCTTATTATCTCCATGACATACAGCTGGAAATGTCGAATCAGCAGTTGGTGATACAGAATGAAGCTTAGAGGGGAGACTGGAACTACATATCTACTTAGAGATGGTAGTTAAACCCATGGGATCTAATGAGTTACTGAGAGAGAAGAGTATAGAGAAGAGAAGAGGGCCCAGGACAGGACATAGTGGAATATTCAGTTAGAGACCATGGTATGAATAATAATGAGTAAAGGAGACTAACAGGGAGTGAGTAGACAGGCAATGAACCAGGAGAAAGTAATGTCACAATAAAAAAAAATCATGATTTCTTGTTCTATTTGATACAATTATCTACTTGAATCTTGAATTTTGAAGGAAGGAAACTATATAGTATGGTTGTAGGATATGTGTATGTTTTCTTATATAAAAATTATATAAATCTTGTTAGCTTTGGTCATTGTTAAAAAGATTAAAATAAAAATATTTCTTTATACTGTAGTGCCTAATACATAGCTGGTGGTTTAAAAAATGTTTGTTAAATGAAAGAATATAAAGACCAAATGAATAAACACAATTACATGATAGTGTCTAAATACACTATAAATATATTTAGAAGTAATAAAGTTAAAAGATTTGAGTCAACAAATCTTGGAAGATCAATAAAAAATAATATTTTCTGCGTTCTCTGCATCGTTTTTTAGCATGAAAAAACCGATTGATAGTAAGACAACTGAATTTGTTAGTCCTCTACCTCTTAAGAAACAACCTCCTGTAATGTCTCATGAGCAGCCACAGCAGCAACATTTGGATCAGGTTTTTGAAAAGAATGAGAAGAATATTTTTTTGCAAAAGACTACAAACAAAATTAGTGAAAGTAGTTTACCAAGAGTGACTCCTACTGAAGAACATCTAGATAAAATGCACCTTGATCTTTTAAGAAAAAAACTGTCCCAAGATTCTTCACCCTTAGTTCATGATAGTAAAATTAATCAAGTAAGTATTATTTCAGATTACTAAAATTTTTAATCAGATAAATTATAGGTGTTACAAGTAATACATATTATCTTAATTGCAATACTTGTTGTCCTGTAAAAAACACTGACTGTGGAGACAGAAAGACTGGATTTGCATCCCAGCTCTGCTGCTGATTGCCTCTGTGATATGTGTGATGTTAGACAGGCCATCCAGTACCTCTAGTTTTAACCTAGTTCCCTTATCTGTAAAATGAATGTTTTGGCTTAAATAGCTTCTGATGTCCTTTCCAGTTCTGAAATCCTCTGATCCTGTAGAAATAGCTGATAACACTTCATTGAAAGATGTAAAGAACCACCAGTCTTTACCTGTAACAGATAATGAATTTTTTAGAAAATAAGCTTGTTGAGCTAAAAAATAGGTCCCTTGTATTAGAGTTTAGCAGAATTTTCTAATGCGTAGTATGGCTGTCACTATAGTACTGCTTACTGTGTGCCAAAAAATATAAATTGGACATAAAATTTGACTGGTAAACAGAATTGGATTTAATAGTCATTCTTATTCTATATTTGTAAAACCCAAACCCTGTTTTTGCTCCTGTTTTGCATCTTTTCTGCTGTGGACACTGATTTAGATTTTATAAAGTATGAAAAATTATGTTCCCATCATGACTTGTCCACTCCTGTCAAGGTTTGCAGAAATATATGAAAAAAACATTTCATAGGTGTATCAATAAATAGATTGAACAAGGGGAGAAAAGGCGTTTAGTTGGGTTAAAGATAAGTCTGCCCCACTTTCTGCACACTATTCATGTTGTTTGGTCAGTGAAGGTAATGTTTTCTATGAAAGATTTTAATGTGCTGATTTTGTAGATATGGGTCAGAATGTAAAAGATTCAGTAAGGTACACAGAGAGCCCTTTGTTGTCCTTCCCTGGTCATCTTCTCTTAAAAACGAATCTTTAAATGATCATTGTAACTTACCCATGTTTTTACTTTATTTACTCCTGTAGTTAAATTCCAAATACTTAAGTAATCTGTGCTCCTCTCAAATTCTTATTCTGTACAGGCCATCAGATCTCAATTACCTCAGCTGAGCTCCGGAGAGGATGCTGTCAGTCCTGTTATCAATAAACAGGCAACATCCAAGAAGACAAGAAGTACACCTCCTTTACTTAAGAGAAAATCACAGAGTGGACCCTATGCATCTGTGAGCAGCTCAGGATATGGAAAATCATATTCACCATTAAAAGCTTTTTCTACTGTTGAAAAGAAAACATCAAAGGACATTATGAAAAAGGAAAACTTAAAATCCAAATCCCCTCCATATAAAATCAGGCAAAAAGGTAATTAGTTATGATACTTTAATAATTTGTACTTTCAGACTTCTGTCACAGCTCAAAGTACAAAAAGAACCCTTTTCTATTTAGTTCATATTTCTTATAATTGTGTACTAAATTAAATCAACCAGTAAGCATTTATTAAATGCCTGCTTGTGCCAGACACCATACAAGGCACTACAATGCTGAGTTTATCATTATGTTCATTATTATTATAGGTTGCAGTTTATTCAACAAGACTCGGGCTTCTCTCACTTAATTTACACTGTTCTGTATTTTCCGACATGTTTTTTGGTTGTGCTGCACTACTAAGACAAAAATAAAACAGTGCTTATCCACAAAGAGCTTACATTTCTATCAGGAGAGACAATATACACATTAAACAAGTACGTAATAAAATACAAGGTTGTTTTGGAAGGAGGAGGCAATGGAAATTGGGAGTCAGGAAGGCTTCATGTAGAAGGGAGAGCTTGAGCTGAGTCTTGAAAGCTGTAAGGGATTCTCAGAGGGATACGAGAGGACTGAGTGCAAGACCTGAGATGAGGCACCTCTCCTGTGTTGTAAGGGACGGCACAAAGGCTGATTTGCCTGGGATCACAGAGCGCAGAAAGGAGAGTGATGTCTAATGAGACTGGAAAGGTTGTTTGAGGCCAAGTAATGAGGGGCTTTAAAAGCTTACCAGAGGAGTTTGTATTTTATCCTACAAGCAACATGGAGCCACTGGACTTCATTGAGTCCCGTAATGATATGGTCAGATCTGCATTTTACAGAAATCCTTTTGGTAGTTCTGTAGAGATACTCTGGGGAGGAGAGAATTGAGACAGAGAGACCAGTTGCAGTGGTATAGATGAGAGGTGATAAGGGCCCAAACTAGCAGGAGGGGTATGTTAATAAAGAGAAGGAGTCAGAAATAAGAGGCATCTCATCTTCCCGAGTTCAGATTCGGCTTCAGATACTTACTAGCTGTGTGACCCTGGGCAAGACACTTAATCTCTGTTTGCCTCACTTTCCTCATCTGTAGAATGGAGATAATAGTAGTCCCTACCTCCCAGACTTGTGCAGATCAAATGAGATGATATTTATAAAGTCCTTTGCTCAGTGCCTGGCCCATAGTAGGCACTTAACAACTGCTTATTCCCTTTCCCACCCTTCCCTTCTGTTGAAGAAAGTATTCATGACATAAAGGTATGAGGCTGCAGTTCATTCATTTATTCAACAAGACTTGGGCCTCTCATTTTATTTACACTGATTCGTATTTTCCGACATATTTTTCATTGTCCTCATCTATTCCTGTCTTTGCATTGAAGTCCCAGAATGTCATAGCATATGTTCATTTAATTTGGAAGTCTTGTCGAGGTCCTCATAAAATTTCTCTACTGTTTCATCTTTTCTGAGAGAAGCTGGAACATAAATTGAAATTATTAAATTGGGGTTTTTTTGCAAGTTGTTATCATGATCACTGCAATATGAGATAACCAGATATCCCATGAAATGTTTTGTTTTGTTTTTTTGTTACCTTTGGCTGCATACTAAAACCATCTAGGCAAAACTATGAGCCATATTTGTGTTTAATTAAAACTGCCTTCTAGTTTTGTTTAGAATAAGAATATTTAGACCGACACGATTCAATTCCTCCAATACTAGTGGTAATAATAGTTAACTTTTATGTAGCACTTTAAAGTTTGAAAAGCACTTTTCGTGTTTTCTCATTTAATCCTCACTACAACCCTGTGAGGTAAGTACTTTTTTTATCCCCATTTTACACATGAGGAAATTGAAGCGTAGAGAGATAAGTGACTCACCTGAAGTTTTATAGCTAGCAAATTAGGTAAAATTTGAACTCGGGTCTTCCTGAATCCAAATCCTCTATCCACTACACCATTTAGCTGTCTAGTAAGTCCACTTCTTAATCATTGGATAAGGATCTTGTATTTATAGTGTCAATGACCAAGTTAAAGTTTATAGATAGTCTAAAAATTGTGTGATTCCAGGTAATTTTGTATTTTTCTTTGTTTCATTGGTTGCCACGGACAAAGAATTTATCACCAATTGTCCACTCCACTGGCAGTGAGCTTCTTCTACTTTAGAAAAGATGGTACCACAAAAGTAGCCTCAAGTCTACTTTTGGAACAATATCTCAGGCCTTTCCAGCAAGCTTGAGCTTTGCTGGCACAATATTTGTGAACCAGGGTCACCTCCACACCATGATGAGGCATTGGAGTAAGAACTGATAGAGATCGATGTACATATTAATTGTTTAATCTGTCCTCACTTTCGTAGTCCATCCACTTGGTGTCTTGTTTTTTTGTTTATAATGTTCAAGTGAAATCATATCTCTGGAAACCATGTATTTCAAAAATTAGTTCAATCTGTTTAGAGAATTAGAATTTGTTGAAACATCGGAGATTTTGAAATATGGATCCCCCCCACCCCAGCCAAAAAAAAAAAGCCAAGTACGCATGACATCAGTGCTTAAAACATTTAACCTGTGTCACCAGGTTCAACCTGTATTAAAGTCTTATTAATTAGCAGTGAGAAGATATTTTTATCCTTGGTTCCTTATACTTGTTATGCTATAACAATGTGACTAAGTGCTTTTCTTTTTCTTTTGCAAAATTTAGGAAATTTATTTGCAACAAAATTAATAAGATCTGGAGCTGCAGGTAAACAAGTGACCAAAACTGAAAGTTGCCTAGCCACTCCTAATAAATCACTTGCTAATGACCCTCAGCATCAAGTTCCTCCAGAAGTAGACTCCCAAGTACTGTGTCAGGATGTAAGTCATGATACTTTTGCGTTCTTAAAAAAATATTAAAATAGAATAAATGTCAAGAGTGACTGAGAAACAGTTATGATTTAGCATTTGTTTTAAAGTGAAAAATTATTCATTGTTGTTGTTTTATGCTCATATTTGTATTCAAACCATGTAAATCTACCATAGCAAAATTATTTTTTTTCTAAATAGGATTCCATCCTATGCCCTGTGGGAAACCAAGAGAGAGAACTGTATTGGCTAAAAAGGGTTCAAGAGGCAGAAGAAAAGTGGAGTGGAGCTCAAGCCATAATTGAACAAATTAAAGCCACCTTCTCAGAGAAAGAGAAAGAACTTGAAAATAAGATGGAAGAAATAAAGAAACAACAGGAAAAGGAACTTTTTAGAGTGAATCAAGATAATTATATACTTCAAGCCAAGGTGTTATAGCAATTGGCCTATTTTTTCCCTGTCAGTTTACGCAATATACTCCCTTCTGTGTCTGTCCTTGTCCTTTTCTGATTATTATTGCTTGATATATAGTAAGTTTTCCACATAAAACTTGGATGAATATCCTAAGGAACTTCCCCTTGTTAGAGAGTCCAAATTGGCTCAGCTTTGATGGTATCCAACTTGTTGGTAGTAGAATTAATCCTCATTAACTAGAAAACATAATTTCTGTCTCCTTTATGACTGGCTTTCAAGTCTGACAAACTAGTCTGATTGATTTTGTTATTTTACAATTCAGTGGAATTGGTTTCCACATGAGGTAGGGAGCCCAAGGTACCTTAGGGCCTAAAAATCAGTTATTTATTTAGTCAGAAACCATTTCATTAATGAATATACACAGTAAGGACTCTTCATTCAGGCCAGTGATAGTGCATTTTAATTTGGATTGCCAGAGTAACCCCCAATAATTGGAGTGGGGTTTAGGGAAGGTTTAATGGGAATCCTTTATACAGTCTGAATAGTGTAAGGTTAACTGATTTTCTCCTATCTTCTATAAAATCTTAATATATTTTTCTGTACCCATTTTCATTTTAAAAACTTTATATAGAAAGTGTAAAAGTTATTCAGGGAAATCTAATACCTAATAATAAATATTTTAACATATATATATATACATATGCACACACATATATGGGTGTATATGTAGATATATTTCTGTTAGGGCACAATATATGCCAGTTAGGGCACTGGACTTGCAATCAGGAAGACCTAAGTTAAAATCTAGCCTCAGTAATTTAGTAGCATGGTAACCCTAGGCAAGTCACTTAAACTCTTTATGCCTTGGTCTTCTCATCTTTAAAATGGGAGAAATGTACCTACATTGCAGAATTGTTGAGATAATACATATGAGGCACTTTGTAATCCTTAAAGTGCTCTGTAAATTCAAGCTGCCTTCTATAACCCTAACAGAGTATTAGAATTGCCAGAAATGCTTTGATATAACATCATCTTATCAGTAACATGGTTTAATGACCTAGACTCCAAGTATTGTCTTGTAAAGTCAGAACTTTGCTTTTTATTGTTGTTATGCAATCATATCAGTCGTGTCCAACTCTTCTGACCCCATTTGGGGTTCTGTTGGCAAAGATACTGAAAGTGTTTTGCCATTTCTTTTCTCCAGCTCATTTTACAGGTGAGGAAACTGAAGCAGAGTTAAGTGACTTGCACAGAGTCACACAGCTAGCAGATGCCTGAGCCTGGTTTTGTACTCGAGGTCTTTCTGACTCCAGGCCCAGCGCTCTATCCACTGTGCCACCTAGCTGCTTTTTGCTAGACATCATTACAAAAGCTTACTGAACAAATTATAGCCGAGTGCCTTAAACATAGTAGATGTTTAAGTATACATTTATTGATTGAATCAATGAATAAGTGTACTCTTCCAAAAAAAAGTCATACAAGTTAGGGGAGAACTGAGTTATAAAGAGATTCCACTTAAGGACATATATAACATTTTAGAGTTAATTTCATAAAGTGGCATAAGACAATGTATTATTGTCTTAATTATGGCAAAATCCCAGTGTGGTAAGATAATACAAATAACGTAAAGGCCAGTGCAAGATTATTATACTTTTTCTCCATTTCTCTTTTCCTTTTCAGTCATCTCCCCCAAATTTAACAGGTTTTGTGCTTTTTTTCAAAGTTGAATAGCTTTGAAGAGACAAACAAAAAGCTAAAATGGTTTAACACTGGAGAAACAGCTGGGCCCATCTCTGAAGAAAAATTAAAGCAAATCCAGAAAGAAATCCAAGAACAGGAGACCCTTCTTCAAGGATATCAGCAAGTATGGCAATTCTTATAATGGTAGATTTCTCTTCTCACTTTTTGTTAAAATGAAGTATCTTAAAATATGTGTATGTTACTTTGCAAAAGTTTGAATGGCCTCAATGACTCCATTATAAATCATTTTTAAATGTTTCTTAGAAACTATTGTGGGAAGGAGACATTGTAGCTTTCTAAAGTACTTTCAGAAGGACGTTGTTTAATGCTTGAGTTTTTGCAATGAAACATGATTTTAATCAATTAAATCATTTTGTGCAACTAAATGGCCACTTAGTCATCTGATGATTGACATTCTGCCACTTCCAGATGTTTTTTTTCTTTTTTTTCTTCTTGCATTCTCTCATTCCTTATCTTTTCCTCTATTCTTCCCCCTTGCTATGCATGAAACCTGCCAGAGATGCTAAGTCACATAGTAATGCCTGTACAGTAATACCTCTATAATAACATTTGTCCCATGGTGACTATAATCTTTACTGCAACAGAAATGGATTAACTATATGGATATACCCCTAAGCTAGTGAATTCTGCTTGGGCACTGTGCCTTGAGGTAGATGGTAATATAGTCACATAGACTTATTGTTTAAATGCTCTTCTCTAGGCATTTAGCACATGATGAGGCCAACTGGGCTTTTACTATATAAAACCATAATTATTAAAGTTAGATTAGTAATATTTATTAAATTCTAATTACTGTTACATAACATTAAGAGAAAATACAATTTGAAGATCAAAGAAATATAATTCTTAGGCATTTATGTATTCTGTATTTCCTACTTGTAACATACTAGGCTCACTCAATGCCTGCTGCCACTTCTGATACCCATTCATAGCCTTGTTCTTTCCCTCTTTACTTGTATCACAAATCTTACCTGTAACTAAGACTCTGAACTTTAAAGCTGGAAGGTACTTTAAACATCCTCTAGCCTAATTTCCTCATTTGCAAATAAGAAAACAGTGAGCCAGGGAAGTAATCTTAATTTTTCCCAAGGTCACAAAGCTAGTAAGTGAGGGAACCAAGACTTAAACTTGATTTAAGAAAAACTCTGTGACACAGTTCTTTAACTTCAGAAGTATTAGTCAGATCTTCGTATTAAGCCTAATTACTATCTTGCAAGTTTTTATTCCTTGACTGAGCTTCCAGAAATGGTCCTCCAGCTATGATTTTTCTTCTTTCAGGCTATCAACAGAAAACATGATTGGGGGGAAGAAATCAGATTTGGATTTGTCCTGGGTACTCTTATCCCCAGCTCTTTGATTTTCTCTTCTGGTTGAGATAAAAATATGGTGTCAGTCTCTAACTCATCTTCCTTTGAAGTTCATGAGTCCAAGAACTCTTTTGCTTTAAATGCTAATAATTTTACTTTCATTAGAGCTTTCAGTTCTGGATTATTTCCAATTAGCTTTCTACTGTGAACAAATGCTGGTTTTTGTATACAGACTATTATTAAAATCACTAAAACATTCTGCTAAACTAAAGTGTAGTATAATGGGAAAAAGCATTAGACTCGAATCTGAAGACTGGGACTCAAGTTCTAGCTGTCCCTTTAATTCTGAGAGATCATTCAAGTCATATAAGGTCATTGGGCTTCAGTTTCCTTATCCATAAAATGAAGGAGGATTGTACTAGATGATTATTCTGTGACACCCTTTAAGCCCTGACATTTATGATGACAGAGGCAGCATGGATTAATAGAAAGAATGACTTGAAGTCACGAACTTTGAATTTGAATCCCACTTCAGATGCCTTTGTAACCAACTTAAGCCCTCTGAGCCTCCCCTGTGAAGTTTTCAATCATCCTATCTATGAAGTGGAGATAATTCTTGAATTACCTCTAAGGGCTGGTGTGTAGATATTGCTTTGTCAAATTCAGAGATATATAAATGTGAATCACCATCATCATCTTTTGAACCAGATATACAAATCTTCACTCATAGTGGCCTATAAACACAGAGCAACATTGAGAAGCTCAATCAATTATCATTAACCACTTTGTTTCATTTTCTCTTATTTTACATTTACACACAAAATCTCATAAATGGCATATTCAAACATTTTTCAAATAACAAAATGGGAAAACTGAATAGTGGTAAATGAATCATCTCCTTAAGACACCCTTTAGACAGTTGTAGAACTTCTCTTCAGACTTAGCTGTACTTTTTCTTGATTTGAGAGAAGTGAATCTCCATTATTTGAGGCAGTTTGACATAGGGAATAGAGAGCCAGTCTCAGTCAGCAGGACTTAAGTTCAATTTGACAAAGGCTGGCTTGTGATACTAGGCAAGTCATTTAACTTCTTACTGCCCCAGCTTACTCTCTAAGACTATACATTGCAGAGAAGATGCTGATGTGCATTCCTTACTAGAGTGTTCTCCTGTACCAGTGAAATCACAGTTCCAATTAAAAAGCAAAACTCCAGGTTCCAAAATTTTAACATGTGGTTCACTAGATACTAAGATTTTAAAATATATGTTTATGTTTATTCAAAGAGTGGCACAATCACTATTAATAAAATAGAAAAGACCTTTAAGTTTAAAAAAAATTTTTTGTGATATATAGCCTCTGTCATTGCAGTTGGATTTTAAGCAACATATAATTTTTTATTTCTTTAAAAAGGAAAATGAAAGATTATATAAACAAGTTAAAGAGCTTCAAGTACAAAATAAGAAAAATGAAGAAAGACTATTTAAAGAAAATCAGTGCTTATTGACTGAATTGGCTTCCTTAAAGTAAGTATTTCATAAATTCTTAGACTCCTTTTAGAATTTTACTAATCCGTTTAATGCTAAATAAAGCTGTTTTCTAAATATTAATGCTTAATTCATTTTGCCTGTAGTATTTTAAAGTTTAGCGCTCTATTGTTTTAGTATAGCATGTTAATATTTGAGTTTGCACTAATTCCTGAGAATGTTATTAATCCTGAAATGATTTCTTGATTAATTTCTAAAAACCATTACTTATCAATTTAGTCAGACTTAATTAGCTTTTTGAAAGGGATAATGTCTGTGTTGGTATAGTTGATATAGTGGATACACTTGGTATAAAATGTCTCCTTATCTGTGACATGTTCTCCCACAAGTATGTATAGAGGTGAGGGAGAAAGTGTTCCCAAGCCTAGAAAACACATGTAGCAAAGAGGGGTAACTTGGCTCCTAAAAGGCCTTTTGCTAGAATCTTCAAGATGTTCCCCTTAAGTATAATATAATTACAGTTTTCTTAGGAGCTTTTTGTAGAGAACATGAATCAGCCGTCTCACCTATCCTTAGATCCCAGCTCAGACATTGCCAAGAGCTGTGCCTTCTCATGTGTTTAGCTGGAATACTCTCTTCTATATCTACTTTCTGGAAACTCTCCAATTCTGTCTCCCTCATTTTTTATTAGTTCCAAAGGTATTACTAAGTTTCCTCAGCCAATTGAAACACACTTCCTGTCTGGTATCATTTCACTTCCTCCGGTACCTTTTAGAGACGTCTTAAAATGATCAGAGATTTTCACACTTAGTCTAACGTCTTGGCTGGATGGATAGAAACATGTTCTCATCAAGGTTGGCCTCTTAACGCTTAACTTTAAGTAGGACAAAGAGTTTTAATTATTTACTCAGTCCGTCCCTACCCTTCCACATGTAATCTGCTTCTCATATTTTGAATTAATATTTTGGGTTGTAATTTCTTTGAGATTATCAGTTCATCTCAACTTTAACCTTTTGAGCAAAGGCAAAGAAGCAGATATATGCTAGCATCCAAAGCACCATCTTACTTCTAGACGTGAGTGCTCGTCAAAAATTGTTATTTGTAATTACATATCCACCTAAATAGCAACACTGCCTCTCAGCATCAGTATCCATGACCAGTAAATACATTAGTTATCCAATATTCACATAAGTTTCCCCAACCTATATCAATTAATATTTGGAAGGGCAGTTAGAGGAATTTATAGGGTAAAAGCTTCCCTCTTTTGACAAAGAAACTCTAGAAGCCCCTGGGACCAATATTTCTGGAAGCCTAGAAGGTTATGAATTCTCTAGAGGCCTGGTAAGATCAGTATTAAAGTACTTTTCTTTATTCATTCAGCAGTCATTCACCTCTTCAGCTATTCTTACTAGTCCACATCAGCCCTTCATGAGCTAATGGGAGACAGAGCAGAATTTTTAGTCACATTTACTTTTCAAAATAGGGAAAGAAAAAAAAAAGATATCATAGTGGAAACATTTGAGTAAATATGATATAGCCCTTTAACTCAATCTCTTTATCAGTTACCCTAAACTGCTCCAAAATTAGGGCTATCTTTATTGCCATAGTGTTAGGATCTGCTTAATTCTAATGGTGGAGAATAGCCAATCTTTTTATTCTTTTAGATGGATGCTATTTCATTTTATTTTTGTGTCCTGTCTTATCATTTTTTAATGTTAGCCATCTCAGTCTTTTGAAAGTAAACTGGCTAAAATTCAGAATTTAAAACTAGGGGAATAGAACATTCTGATAAATTGGGCATTCTGATTAACTGAGATTTGCCATTATAAACCATATAAACCATTGTAAAATACATGAAATATGAGTTTTAAAAGAATCAAAATACAATAAGAAGTTTAATATTTAAATTTACTTAATTTAATCTTATGTTTCATGAGGTACTTTAATATATTACAATTCATATAATTTGTTGATGTATTCATCTCATGAATATTAGTCATTCTACAGCAATATGAACATAAACAGTAGACTATATAGAACTGAATCTTTAAGAAACCCAGGATGTCACTTGGGTGTTTCTTTTTAAAAACAAAGCCTTGTTAGCAGATTATTTATTATATGTATCTTATAAAAACAAAATGTAGACTATATTATTTTTAATCCTTTCTGGTTTTTTTGGAATCCAGGATAATTTCTTTTTCTTTCATTCCATAAATATGTATGTATGTCTAGATTAGTACCAGTATATTCTCACAGTATAACTGAGACAAAGGGCTAGTTAATAATGGAGATCTTATTAAAGTAAATTCTACCTACACAGATAATATTTACAATAGTATATAAAAAGCTTTCTAGTAATTTTAAAAACATAAAGGTCAAGACATTCCCCTTAAAAGGTGAAATTGACTTAATATCTTAATGTTAGTTTATGTCTTATTAGTTCTGAACTGAGATTCTTTTTTGAGTTTTTCACTATTCATAATTTTCTTACTAAATAAAAAACTTTGTCTAAGAATGAAACAGTAGTGGTTTTTAAAAAAATGTTAAAATTATGTATTTTCAAATTAAATTAGAGAACAACTGAATAAAAGTAGTTTCCCGTCTCAAGTAGTTCAAGATTCAGAGCCAAACAAAAACCAAAGTTTTACAGAATTGCTAGCAGAACTTCGAACAGCACTGGTAAGTAGCCTGAGAATTATCCCAATTACAAATAGTCAAGACTGTATTAAAAATTCACACAAGATCTGCTATAGTTGAAACAAAAGGTGTAAAACCTTTGAGTTTTATATCCTCAACAGGATATAAAAAAAATAATGAAAAGTGAAGGGGGCCTAGCATTACAAGATTTCATCCTCTGTTATAAAGATAAAAATTATTTGATACTGTTTAAATAAACTAGAAAAGTAGATCAGTAGAATAAGCCAGATTAGCAAGACCCAGAAGCAAACACAATAACCCCATGTTCAGTAAACTGAAGAACATGAATTACTGAGGGAAGGACATCCCATTTCACAAGAACTACTGGGAACATGGGAGAGGAGTTTGGCTAAAAATACATTTCATCTAGCGTCTTCCACGGTATGTCACAACTAATTTCAAATGGATAAGTGGCCTAGACAAAGACTGTCATCATTAAAAACATCAATTAAAAAAAATAAAGAGAATAGAGGAAGGGACTGTTCAGCTCTGTGTTTGGGGGAGAATTCATAAAAAAAATTGGACAGAAATGAGACTATAGAAAACAAAAGAGAACAATTCAGTTATATAAAATTAAAAGGCTTTTGCTAGATCACTGTGCAACCCTAGAATAGCAAGAAAAACTGCTAAGTGAGGAAAAAAATCTGTATCAGATAAATGGCTCGTATGTATAATTAGAACTATTTAAGACCAAGAGCTATTAAGTGATCAAAACACATGTACAGTTTTTTAAATGATAAATGTAAATGATCAGCAACCATATGAAAAATGCTTCATGTTACTAATAATAAAATTAAGATAGGAACAATTCTGAGGTTTTTACTTCGTACTCCTCAATTTGGCAAGGATGATATAAAACACAGAAATAGTCAATATTGGAGTGGCTTTGTGAAGATAAGCAAATTAAATCCACTGTCAGTAGATTTGTGAACTGGTTCAACTCTTCTGGGAAATATTTTGGAATTCTACAAGTCACTTATCTGTTAGACATTTAATCGCGTGATCTCACTATTGGGCATATAACCTCATGTATATGAAGATATTCGTAGGAGAACTTCTGTGTATTCTGGTAGTGAAAAAAATAGGTTTCCATCAATTGGGGAATTAATAGAAATATAGAAAGAGTAATGAACTGATGCAGAGCAAAGAAAGTATCACTGGGAATATAATATGTATAATGATTACAGGAATGTAAATGAAAACAACACTAAAAAGCAACAAAATTCAGATTAATTGTAATGACCATTCTTCATCTCAGAAAACGTAACAAAACACACTTTCAGCCTTTCAGTAGAGAATTGGGAAACAGTGAGTATGGAATGCTGCAAACATTATCAGATAACATTGCTTTGTTGGGTGGGTTTTGCTTAGGTGTTTGCTTTGGGTTATTGGCCAGGGGGAGAGGGACAAGTAAGAATGCATTGGGAAATGACAATAGTGTAAAAAACACTCCATCACAAAATTTGTTGAAATAAAACATTTACAATGTATACAAAGTAGTTCATAGTCATGAAATGTAGTGTTACCATTTTGAATTCATGGAATGTGAAAAATCAAGGACTTAGAAATTTTTTTATTCTAGTTCAAGGCAATAGGATAATACTTTATATCACATTATATAGTTATATCAGATTTTTTTCTATATATAGAAGTTATAGTTTGGTAGACAGGCTTATAGTTTGGTAGACAGGCTTATAGTGCATGTTTATCTCAATTTAAGGAAATCTAATCTCTGGCAATTGAGATTTTACCACACGCAAAAAAAAGGAGATTATTGGATTTAGAGCTAGAAGAAGGGACCCTAGTCCAGTCACCTCATCTTAGAGATAAGGAAAATGAGGTATAGAGAGGTTATAAAGATTTTCCCAGTGTCATAGAGTCAATAAATAGTAGAATAAGAATTCAAACTCAGGCCCTCTAATTCCAAATCCAGTACTCTTCCCTCTCTAGCTTGGGGCTGGCCCAAATAAGGCCAACTAAACAATATACATTGTGGTATATCAATGGACCTATGGAGTTTTAAAACTGAAAAAATAACCTATTGAATTATTCTAGATAATTCAAATAAAATTTTTTAAAATATATTCTCTTTTAAAACTATACTTCAAGTTATCTATATAATAATACCACCATCAGCCAAGGAAATTACTTTGGCAGTGTAAGAATTATTCGAAGATTTTCTGCTTTGAAATAACTTGGACTGGGGGTGGAGCCAAGATGGCAGGGAAAGGTCAGAGACTCACCTGAGTTCCCCCAAATTCCCTTCCAAATACCTTTAAATAATGCCTCGAAACAAATTCTGGAGCAACAGAACCCACAAGGATGGAAACAATTTTCCAACCTAAGACAACTTACAAGGTCGGCAGAAAAGATCTGTTGCACAGAGGTAAGAGTGGAGTGTAATTCAGTGCAGGCCACCCCAGCACAGACCAGGCCCACCAAACCAGGAGCAGGTCTTAGGAGAGACTGAATCAGCAGCAGGGGCAGTGGCTTCTTCCAGAGCTCCTGACCCACAGATAGTAAGTGGGTCAGACACAATTGGTCAGAAGGAGATGATTATAGGAGTGTTGGCACTGGGGGCAGCACTCTGTTACATTGCCCATACCCAGATCTGGGTTGCAGTCCTAGTTGGCAGTCTCAGGGAGAGAGGGAGCACTAACACATCAGAGTTTGTGGTCACAAGAGAGTAGAGACCCTGGTCACAGTTTCAGAGCAGAAAAGAGTGCTTGTGGTCAATCAGAGACCAGACCACAGGCCAGGAGAGTAGTAAACACAGTTCACCTTAGATCATACCATCTTGGAAAAAATAAAAACTTACAGGTCCCTAGAATTATCCTGAAAACAGCTACACAAAAACCCTGAAGCTTGGAACAGTATGTTCTCCACCCTAGAAGCATAGCCCCATTTCAGCTTATGGTTAAAAGTAAAGAAATAGGCTGAAAAAATGAGCAAACAACAGAAAAAGTTTCTGCCTGTAGAAAAATACTTGGGTGACAAGGAAGATCAAAACACACTCAGAAGAAGACAACAAAGGCAAAACTACCACATCCAAAGCTTCAGAGAAAAATATGAATTGGTCTCAGGCCATGGAAGAGCCCAGAAAGGGTTTTAGGAGTCAATTAAAAGAGGTAGAAGAAAAATTGAGAAGAGAAACAAGAGTGAGAAAAAGAAAAATGAGCATGCAAAAAGAGTCAACAGCTTGGCAAAGGAGGCATTAAAAAATACTGAAGAAAATAATGCCTTGAAAAGTAAAATAGGCCAAACAGTGAAAAAAGTACCAAAATCTAATGAGAAGACTGCCTTGCAAAGCAGAATTGGCCAAATGGAAAAAGAGGTGCAAAAAAGTACTGAAGAGGGGGCAGCTAGGTGGCACAGTGGAGAGAGCACCGGCCCTGGAATCAGGAGTAGTTGAGTTCAAATCTGGCCTCAGACACTTGACATTTACTATCTGTGTGACCCTGGGCAAGTCACTTAACCCCATTGCCTAGCCCCCCAAAAATGTACTTGAAGAAAAGAACACCTCAAAAAGTAGAATGGAAAAGCAGCACAAAAATTCACTGAAAAAATAATTCTGTAAATATTAGAATTGGGTGAGTAGGAGCTAATGACTTTATGAGACATCAAGAAACAAATAAAATCAAAAGAATGAAAAAATAGAAGAAAATGTAAAATATCTCCTTGGAAAAACAACTGACCTAGAAAATAGATCCAGGAGAGATAATTTAATAATTATTGGACTGCCTGAAAGCCATGATTAAAAAAAGAGCCTAGACATCATCTTTCAAGAAATTATCAAGGAAAACCACCCTCATATTGTGGAACCAGAGAGTAAAATAGAAATTGAAAAAATCCACTGATCACCTCCTAAAAGAGATTCCAAAATGAAAATTCCCAGGAATATCGTAGCCAAATTCCAGAACTCCCAGGTCAAGGAGGAAATAGTATTGAAAGCAACCAACCATCAAATATCGTGGAGCCACAGTCAGAATAATGCCAGATTTTGCAGTTTCTACATTAAAGGAGTAAAGGGATTGAAATATGATATTCCAGAAGGCAAAGGAGCTAGGGTTATAGCCAAGAGTCATCTATCTAGCAAAACTGAGTATAATCCTTCAGAGGGGAAAAAATGGACGTTGTGTGAAATAGAGGACTTTCAAACATTCCTAATGAAAAGGCCAGAGCTGAATAGAAATTTTGACTTTCAAATGCAAAACTCAAAAGAAGCATAAAATGGTAAACAGGAAAGAAAAATTGTAAGGATTTCAATAAGGTTAAACTGTTGTATTACATTCCTACATAGGAAAATAATACTTGTAATCCTAAAAACTTTCTTATTATTAGGACAGTTAGAAGCAGTATATATAGATAGAGGGCACAGGTGTAAGTTGAATGTGATGGGATGATTACCCTAAAAAAAAATAAAATTAAGGAGTGAGAAACAGGAAAGCCTTGGAAGAAGGGGAAAGAAAGAATAGAGTATATTATGTCACATAAAAGAGGAGAGAAAGAGCTTTAACAAGGAGGGAAGGATAGGAAGAGGTGGAGGGCAGCAAGTGAACCTTACTCTCATCAGAATTGGCTCAAATGGGGAATAACATGCACACTCAGTTAAGTACAGAAATCTATCTTACCATACAGGAAAGTAGGAGGGGAAATGGGATAAGAGCAGAGGGTAGGGGGTAGAATAGAAAAGAGGTCAGACTGGGATAAGTAAAAGACAGAAGCAAAGCACTTTTGAGGATGGATAGGGTGAAAAGAGAGAAAGTAGGATAAACAGAAATAAGGTAGAGGGAGATATACAGTAATCATAACTGAAAAAATGTTTACAAGAAGTTTATCTGATAAAGACTTCATTTCTCAAATATATAGAGAACTGAGTCAGATTTATTTTTTTTTAAATGAGCCATTCCTCAATTGATAAATGGTCAAAGAATATGAGCAGGCAGTTTTCGGACAAAGTAATCAAAATTATCTATAGCCATATAATAAAATGCTCTAAATCACTATTGATTAAAGAAATTCAAATTAAAACAACTCTGAGCTACTACCCCACACCTATCAAATTGGCTAATATGGCAGGAAAAAAAATAACAAATGTTGGAGGGGACATGGGAAAACCGAGGCACTAAATGAACTTTTGGTGAAGTTGTATACTGATTCAACCATTCTGTAGGAGAGCAATTTGGAACTATGCCCAAAGGACTATAAAACCATGCATATTCGTTGACCAAGCAATACCACTACTAGGTTTGTATCCCAAAGAGATAAAAAACAAAGAGGAAAGGAACCTATATGAGCAAAAATATTTATGGCAGTGGTGGCAAAGAATTGGAAATTGCGGGGCTTTCCATCAATTAGGGAATGTTTGAACGTTGTTGTATATTGTGATGGAATACTATTTTGCTATAAGAAATGATGAGTGGGATGCTCTCAGAAAAACCTGGAAAGACTTACATGTACTGATGCAAAGTGAAATGAGCAGAACCAGGAGAATATTGTGTATAGTAACAGCAATATTGTATGATGATCACCTGTGAATGACTTAGCAATGCAATGATCCAAGACAATTCCAAAGGACTTACGATGAAAAATGCTACTCATCTCCAGAGAAAGAACTGAGGGAGTCTAAATGTAGATCAAAGCATACTTTTTCTTTACTTTCTTTTGGGGGAGGAGGGGGCTCTGTTTTCTTTCACAACATGACTAACATGGAAAAATGTTTTGCATGACTGCACATGTATAACATCAAAGTGCCTTCTCAATGAGGGGGGGTTGGGAAGTGAGGAAGGGATAGAATTTGGAACTCAAAATTTTTAAAATTAAATGTTAAAATTGTTTTTACATCTAAGTGGGGGAAATATGACATCAAAAAAAAGAAATGACTTGGACTTAATTTTTTTCTTTGGATATCAAGAAAGAAAAAAACAGATTATTAGAAGAGATTAAAATACTGAAGCAAGACAAACAAGCTCTTGAAGTGGACTTGGAAAAGATGAAGAAAGAGAGAGACCTTGCTAAGGATCAGATTGTTTATACTTCAGGTAAAGCTTTAAGTTTTGCCAATTGTTCATTTACAACAATTTTCATGTGGAAATAAGATCCTTTCTACTATTTCATGTAATGTTTTTATAGAATCCATTAACAACTTTAGGTCGATATTACTTTTATGATAAAACTTTTGAAATTGGATGGAACATAAAAGTACCTTCTTTTTCAAGCATATGAATATATTTCAGTGTTTTGAGTCTGGCATAATCACAGAATGGAATACTATTGGCAAGTATTTTCAACTTGCTTTTTATTGGCTTCTGTTTTATCATATAGAATGCCACCTTTTGTGCCAAATGATGGACTTCTATCCAAAATGTCATTTACCAAATTTCACAGTAAGACTAGCTTTATATATATTATTTAATACATGCTGAAATGTTCCAGATGTTTACAACAGATTACTCCTTCAACACCATTTCCTTGATATAAATGTTTTTGACATTGAGTAAGCATGTTTATTAACAGAGTCATTACCCTGCTCTTTAAGTTTCTGGTTTCCTCTACTAGAAAAATCCTATACTGACATCCATAACTAAATTTTTTTTAAAATGATGTTATTTATTTATTTTGGGCTAGGCAGTGGGGTGAAGTGACTTGCCCAGGGTCACACAGCTAGTAAATGTTATGTGTCTGAGGCCAGATTTGAACTCAGGTCCTCTTGACTCCAAGGCCGGTGCTCTATCCACTAAGCCACCTAGCTGCCTCCTATCAGCCAAGAAGGGTTAGCGTGTTTATTTGACCTCTTAAGGTCATATACCTTAAATTATAACATGGTTCTTCATATTGTTTAAATGTTTCATTAAAGACATCTCAGAGGGGTGGAGCCAAGATGACTGAGTAAAAGCAATGACTGCTTGAGCTCTCCCCCAAACCCTTCCAAATACCTATAAAAAAATGGCCCTAAAGAAATTCTCAAGCAGCAGAACCCACAAAAAGACAGAGTGAAACAAATTTCCAGCCAAAGACAGCCTGAATGGTTGATCAGAAAAGTATATTGCACCAGGTGGGTAGAGGAGTGCAGTTTGGCGTGGGCACACAGGCTGCAGCGAACCTGGAGCAGGCCTCAGAGGACTGAATCACGGGCAGCTGTGGCAGTTTCCAGACCTCTCAACCCACGAACACCAAAGACAACTTAGAAGGTCAGTGGGAAAAGTCTGTTTCTGCGGTGGTGAGAGAGGAGCGGGGTGTCTCAGATCCAGTTCCCAAGCTCGGCCCCAGGGCGGCAGCTGCCTCCTGAGCTTCTGGCCCACAGACTGAGGGGGAATCAAGTGGCTGATCAGAGGGAGATTGCAGGGATCTCACTGGTGGTGCAGGGTTCTCTTGCTTTGCCCATGCTTGGCTCTGGGTCACAGTTCTGGGTGGCAGTCCTGGGGTGAGGAGGAGCGCTGGTGTGGTGGAGCTTGTAGTGGTTGTGGAGAGGAAACCCACACAGTTCCAAGACAGAAAAGAGTGCTTGTGGTCATCATAGACCAGAGCACAGGACAGGAAAGGGGTGGTAAACACCTCGCCCTTGATCATAGCACCTTGGAAGAACTGAAAATTCACAGGTCCCTACAAGTATCTCTGAAAACAGCTGCACAAAACCCCTGAAGCTTGGTACAGTACGTTCTTCACATTGGAAACAGACTCCTACCTTAACAAAGAATTTATAACTCAAGTAATTGGCCAGGATCATGAGCAAGCAGTGCAAAAAGAGTCAGACTGTATTGTCTTACTTTGGTGACAAAGAAGATCAAAACACACAACCAGAGGAAGACAAGGAAGCCAAAGCTCCAAAGCCTCCAAGAAAAATATTAATTAGTCCCAGGCCATGGAAGAGCTCAAAAAGGATTTTGAGAAGCAAGTAAGAGAAGTAGAGGAAAAACTGAGAGTGGTGCTAAAGGAGACCCAAAAAAATACTGAAGAAAATAACACCTTAAAAAATAGCCTAACCCAAATGGCAAAAGAGGTCCACAAAAAGCCAATGAGGAGAAGAATGCCCTAAAAAGCAAAATTGGCCAAATGGAAAAGGATGTCCAAAAGCTTACTGAAGAAAATACTTCCTTAAAAATTAGAATGGAGAAGTTGGAAGCTAGTGACAATTTGAGAAATGAAGGCACTGTAACACTAATCTAAAAGAATGGAAAAATAGAAGAGAATGTGAAATATCTCATTGGAAAAACAACTGACCTGGAAAATAGATCCAGGAGAGAGAACTTAAAAATGATTGGACTATCTGAAAGCCATGATCAAAAAAGAGCCTAGACATCATCTTTCAAGAAATTATCAAGGAAAACTGCCCTGATATTTTAGAACCAGAGGGCAAAATAGAAATTGAAAGAATCCACCGATCACCTCCTGAAAGAGATCCCCAAAGGAAAACTCCTAGGAATATTGTAGCCAAATTCCAGAATTCCCAGGTCAAGGAGAAAATATTGCAAGCAGCCAGAAAGAAACAATTCAAGTATGGTGGAAACACAATCAGGATAACACAAGATTTAGCAGCTTCTACATTAAGGGTCCGGAGGGCACGGAGTATGATGTTCTGGAGGGCAAAGGAGATACGATTACAACCAAGAATCACCTACCCAGCAAAACTGAGTATAATCCTTCAGGATAAAAAATGGTCATTCAGTGAAATAGGGGACTTTCAAGCATTCCTGAGGAAAAGACCAGAGCTGAATATAAAATTTGACTTTCAAATACAAGACTCAAGTGGAACATGGAAGAGGTAAACAGGAAAGAGAAATCATAAGAGACTTATTAAGGTTGAACTGTTTACATTCCTGCAGGGAAAGATGGTATTTGTAACTCATGAGTCCTTTGTCAGTATTAGGATAGTGGGAAGGAAAAAAATTATATGTATGTATACATAGATAGAGGGCATAGGGTGAGTTGAAGATGAAGGGGTGATATCTGGAGAATAAAATTAAGGGGTGAGAGAGGATTATATTGGGAGAAGGAGAAAGGGAGAAGTAGAATGGGGTAAATTATCTCACATGAAACAGACAAGAAAAGACTTTTACAGTGGAGGGGAAATGGGAGATGGTGAGAGGGAACGAGTGAATCGTATTATCATAGGATTTGGCTTAAGGAGGGAATAACATACACACTCAATTGGGTATGGAAATCTGTCTTACCCTACAGGAAAATAAAGGGGGAAGGGGACAAGAGAGCAGGGGGTTGATAGAGGGGAGGGCAGATATGGGAGCGGATAATCAAAAGCAAACACTTCTGAGGAGGGACAGGGTCAAAAGAGAGAATAGAATAAATGGGGGGTAGGATAGGATGAAGGGAAATACGCTTACTTTTTCACAACAGGACTACTGTGGAAGTGTTTTGCATGACTACACATCTATAACCTGTATCGAGAATCTTGCCTTTTCAATAAGGGTGGGTGGGAAGGGAGGAAGGGAGAAAATTTGTAACCCAAAGTTTTAAAAACATGTTAAAAATAAATAAGTAAATAAAGGTTTGAGGAAAAAAAGACATCTCAGAGACAATTTTCTGGAAGATTTCATATAACTTATTTCCAAGTAGCAGAGTTCAGTTTTCAACTTATTCATGCATAAGGACAGGAATGTTATCACCTTATTTATTGCTTCTTTTAAAAAATGCATTTTAAAATACCCAAGTTTCTCATTTTTCTTATATTTTGCTTCTCCACAATATTAATTTTATCCGATTTTACCCTGACACTTAATACTTATTCTAATTCTAAGGTTTTGTGCTCTCTGTGGGTTTCCCTTCTTGGAACTTATTGTAAGTAAATTTGAATTTATGAACCTTAAGATTTTGGAAATCTTCCTTTCTCTTCAAGCCTTGATTCAGGTGCCACATTGCTTATGAAAATTTCCCTGATTCCCTCAGCAGAGCATTGTTTCCTCTTCCTTGTATCATACTTATTTGTATATTTCTTATCCTTTTCTAATAGCTCCTTGGGGGAATGGACTAGAGTGTTTTTCATTTTGCATTCCTAAGATTTTGCAAAATAATAGGTATTTAATAAATGTTGAATTCATGGGAAATGAATTCAGGAATTCAGCCTTTATCAATAGTAAATGAGGTAATTGATTAATAGTTTGTTATCCCAGTCATTAGAATAATTATCCCCTAAGTCTTTATCATTCCTTTCAGAGTTTCATTAAACCCTTCTGTCAAGCTCTTTGCGAAGGAGATGATGTACAATTGTCTTTTATGTGATTGACTCATATGTCACTCTTAAGTATTTCAAAACTTCTGTGAGGAAATTGAGCCCTTCTTTTTGTCAGGTTCTCAGAAAGAAATCTTTATCTCAAAAATACACAATGAGGATTTGTCTATTTTGTGAATATCATTAAGAGGGTGATGCTGCTATTTCTGGATGGCTTGTAGTCTAGTCTATTATTATAAGAATATACCTTTTCCCCAAATGTGTCTAGGAAGTGAACCTACTATGTTGATGCCCAAATCATCAAATCCCTAATATAATGAATACTTTAATAGTGGAAACCTTGTTTGGTATCTCTCACACGCATCTCAGCACCTCCGTTATTCCAAATCATTGGAATCTGAGCAATAACTACTTTTTTGGTTTGACAGTCCCTAGGTGAGCCTATAATATGCATCAAAGAGCCATTTGTAACCATAATTTAAGATATTTGGACAACTCTAAGGCTTGCAAGAAACTGTGTGGTTTGTGAGTTGTCATATCCTATATGCTCCATATTTTTATGAGGCCACATGGTGTGGTTTGGTGAAAGAGCACTATAGTTATGTCCAGATGCTTCTGATTTTTTCCATGTAACCTGGAGCAAGTCATTAATACACATCTTGCATATGAGGAAACAGAGGCTCAAAAGTAAAAGAGTAAAAAAAAGAAATACTTGTACTGCTTACCGCATAGGGTTACAAAATCTTATCATTAGAAGGGTCTTTAGAGGCCATATAGCCTAATCCGTACCTGACTAAAATGGCCTCTCCAACACTGCTGTTCTCTGTTTAGAGACCTTCATTGAGGTCCATTACTCTC